CATTTGAATGTGATGAGTGGGCTGTCGACATAGAGCAGAGGGGTTGGGCTGGGCACGGCCCAGGAGGATGGACAAAGGCAGTGACTGTGCAAAAAACACAATGCTCTCTCACTCATCATGTTTGACAACACAGGATAATATGAGTATAATATAAGGGTATATAAGGGTGATTTGAATAATAATGAGGTATTTCTTATTGTTTCTACAGAGGTCCTACTTGTAATGAGAGATTAAATCATAAGGCAGACTGCAGTGATTCACAGACAGAAATGTCAGACAGCCAGTGAGAGACCACACCCTCCTATAACACATAACTTACAAAGCAGCCATCCTACAGACTGGTAGTGTATATGGGCGTCTACTGAAAGGAATAAAATCTGTAACAGTCAATACAATATACTGTATATGTCTGTAATCTGAAGCCTTGCAAAAAAGATCGTTTTTTCAAACTTGGGAAATGAGCTTAATGGATGTTTGATAAATAATAGATCAATGAATTAATAATAAATTAATAAATGTAAATTTAAACATTGTCTTCTAGTAATGTTTATTAAGGCAGAAATATATTTGGCCACAAATTTTTAAAAAAATGGTGTTCATGCACAAAAGTCACAAAGCAAGTCACCAACTTGAAAAACAATAAATATTAGAATTTTCTGTGTATTTTCTGCAAGACCTTCAGTTCACTCAATAAGCAAAACGTGCTCATTTTGGGTCCACCTCTAGAAATATACTTTCCTTCCATCTACTCAAACTATTGACTCCATATGGCACCTTAAAAACAAAATGAACCAACTGCAAGAAGAGCTGACTGAACCACCAAATGTCTAATCCATTAAATCTTCCCTGATGTCAGAGGATGATCATCTGCTGGGAAACTCGCTCCCATCATGTTGAGGACCGACCAAGCAGGCTCTGCTAGAACAGCGCAATCCAACAACAGCCACTACCCAGTGTATTTAACTGTTGTGTGTGTCCAGGAAACCATGTCTTTAACTCATTCCTCAAGTTCACAGTCTTTTGTAAAGCCTGCATTGAATTTCATCCCGGCCTAAAGCAATTCCATCGCAAAGTGTATAATTAACTCTAATACCTAATTAGTGTGACATTCTTAAGGTTTGAGCAATACGAACTACATGCATGGCCCCAGTCAATGGCAATTGTGCTTAAGCTCAAGAAACATCCGAAACTCACAGTTCAGCTCTTCATATGGTTTTTCCTTGATCTTGAAAATTTGCCAATTTATTTCTAATGGTTAAGTTCACTAAGGGTCACACTGGAGGTCAACAAGTGCACGTGTCACGCCACACGGCACTCACTCACCACAGTGAAGACTACAGTTTTGTACAGTTTTCTCTAGAAACTGACAGCTGACATTATCTCAGAGGTGTTTGATGAGTCTGGAACCAAGCCAAACCACCAATGACAACCACCCACGTAAACACAAAGTCACCAGTGCATGTACTAACAATAAATTACAATGTGTTTGCCTGAACTTCCACTGTCCAATATGAAAAGGATCCGATCCTATATCTTTATTTGGAGAGACAAAGAAAAAACTGTTCCCTACTTTATAGCTGGCCTTCTTGCTGCTCTGTTTACTGGTTTGTTTGTTTGGTTACTGATGATGACTTGGCGATGAAAATGTGTCTCTTTGATACGCTTAGCGTCACATGAAGAGAAGCTTGGGGGCTCTGGCTAATTCTGTCAACTGCAAATAAAACTTTTAAAAATTAAAAACAAGGATTTTTCCTGCACTTAGCCAGCACTCTATAGACATATTAAGCAAAGAAATGTTTTATGGAAACAAATGTTTTATGGGAAGATTGGGATTGATTGGGAACTACATGATTTTAAGAAGGTAGAAGGTATTTGGCTCTGATGTAAGGTTACATATTTAAGCCTAATCATCCTGTTATATATGCTGACATACTGTACACTGTGCTATGGTGTTGTATACGTAACTTTCATACTCTAAGATCTAACTTCCTAAAGCTTTGCTAATCTTCATTTTTATCAATTGTCGTTATCTCACTCACCACTCTCCAGCATTATCAGGTACAAGCATGGAGCCCAAAGAAATTATGAGTTCTTCATGTTTATAACCCAGCTATAGTCTGCTCCCTCTCTCCTTAACTGAACCCTGGTAAATAAATGTTGATAGTGTTGAAGACTTTCTGCTTCAGCTCTCAAAGCTGGAACTTTTTTTCCTGCCAATGATTAGCCCATCTGCTAAACTCAACTTTCTATCAGGATGGCTCTGTTGCCAAAAAAAGAAAAATCTGTGCAGAATGCTATTGATAAGCCAAAAAGACACTTAATTCAGCCAATTTTACTTAAGAAACAGTCAGCATAATAAATTGGTTGGATTGAGACTACATTAGAATTACTGTAAGACAATAACACTCGAAAATTTGGAAATTTGTTGCTAAAATTATTTTTAAAAAATACAAAAGAATACCTTACCCCTCTTTGATACATTCATTGTTCATGCACCAGCTGGTGGGGAGTCAAATATCTCCAAAGAATCAATACTTAACATGTAAAAACTAATCCGAGTGGTAGTTAGTGATATGAGAAAACAGGAAAACTAAGTAAGCTCATTGTGTGTCAAAGCTCCTCTGCCTGAAGAAAACAGATACAGATTCCTAATGATGCTACATCATATGATCCCATTAAGAGTCCAGTCAGGGCATTTAAGCCGTATACCACAGCTGACTGGCCCTGCTGGCTACAATGCTTCAACAGCTGAGAGAAAACGCTCATGGCAAGCATGAATACAATAGTCCACAGTCTGTTAGTTATTGTGCTGTTGTTTCACTTTGTTAGCCTGATTGAAAAGGAAACTCAAGAGTTAAAACCTCTGCTGTCAGTGTGAATCCAGCTCCACTGGATCTCCTCGGGCCTCAAAGTACATGTGTATGATTTTGTCAACGAGCTCTCGCTGTCACAGAGACACTGAATAATATAGATCTCTATATGTGTGATGGATTTGATCTAATTAATGGGACTGACCTAAAAGGAGCAGCTACACGAAACGACACGAGCCACTGATATGAGCTAACGCCTCATCCTGCTATGTCATTGTCCTGTCTGCCTTGAGACACCACATAGGTCAGCGAAGCACTATTCAGTCAGTGGTATTTCTATAGGCGATCAACCAAAAACTAGACAAATACATCATTTATATTGTGAAAGTACAATTAATTCAAACAACAGACTTGATTTATCTGTTTAGGTCTTTCAGACTGAAGGTAAACAATGCAGACACTGTAATCGTCTGGCTTGATCTATTGTTTTTCCAGGCATATTTCGAGCTACAAATTTTCATACCACAGCTAAACAAGAGAAATAATCCCATAATCTAATGATCAGATGTGATCATATAATAAGGCCTTTGTTTTGGCTACTAAAAATCAGCCTAAACGTGATGTCATGCAGGAAATATTCTCACTTTTCCACTGCGGGGATAAGGACACTAAGAGCAGCCGGTCACCAGAGGGAGAGAGGGGCGCAGGCTGACATTTATCGAGCTGTCAAGCAGTAATCAGGCAATTTCCTCATCGTCCCAAAGCTGAAGCAATTGGCTATCCAATCACCATTGATCCTACCTTTGTATTTTTCCAAAACATCCTCATAGGCTTGGAGGTATTCCTGTTCGTCGGAGAGCACATAAGCCTGCGGTGCGTACTGAGCCATAACCCGGGCTCCACAAACTGGACATTCACCAGCGGCGGACAGGGACACAGCGTGTGTGAGTGTATGTGTGTGTGTGTGTGTGTATGTATGTATGTATGTGTGTGTGCATGTGTATGTGCTGAGGACTCGAGAGTGATCGGCGCTGTTGTTGCACTAAAGGAAACGCCCTACGTCCCTCCCTTGTCTGCGTTCTGTCCAATAGTGGCCACACTTCCTCTCTGGAGTTCACGGATTGATAGGGAGGACAGCCGGACGTGCTGCACTGCAAAAAAAAAATGCCTCTTTTAACAAGTCAATCAGCCGGACGGCGAGTGGAAAACCCACTTAAAGTGAGATTTAGATCTTACGCTCTTATCACGAAAGGATACATCTCAGCAGGTCTGACGCCCATGTGCGCGCTTTCGCACCAGTGAGTAAAATAACCTGCGTAAACCAAACTGAATGATCAGTTCACTTTTTATAGTGTGTGATAATAAACTCAAGCGTCTCAGTACCGGCTCGTGACATGGACCACTTTCTTTTTCGCTGCTGACCACCTGCCAAAGACTTTAAACAACTCTGGCACATTTACAGGACTCACTGTTTGAGAAGATGTCAGTCTCTTTGCTGCCAGTGGTTCAGATCAGCTGTCACCATACTGTCACACTAAGCTGCAAGCTTTCATTGAAAAGTTCACCCACAACACTCCCTGTATCGATCTGACTTTATTTCTTACGGCGATTTTTTACAACGTCAAAGAGTGTCATTATTAAATAGCCTACACGAGTGCTATAAACTTCAGCTCTCTAAGCTTGTTATAAAGAGTGAAACGAGCAAGTGTCCACATGAGAAGGATTTTTTTTTTTTTTTTTTTAATTTATACGTTACAAATGTGACCTTTGGGCATTAAGATGCGTCCTCGTGAGGGTTAGGGTGTCTCAATAAATAATTTAAATGAAAAATGAAATCATACCTTAAAATGGGCCTTTAAAGCTACTCATTGACAGAGGTTGGCTCAAAGAAAAATACAGTTGTTTCCTTTTTAAATTACACTACATATCCAATACCGCTTTGGTTCATTCTAAAGCACCATATCCAGAATAAGAACAGACCAAAATACCATCACATGTACCACAGGTCCACGTCACTTCAGACCCTGTGTTTAGGTCCCTAAATAAAACTGGGTTTACCAGGAAAAGATACAGCTTAATAAGTCGCTATGAGCTCATGCATTCTCCGTATATTGCAGCATATTCCAGCGTTGTTTTTCTCTTTACCGCACAATCTGATAACCGGACAACAACAAGGAGTCAGCCGCTCACCTGCGATCCTGAGCACGGCTCTCTCCGCCGGATCCAGCACGGATCCTCCTTGGATTTTCCTCTTGGACCGCTCGTGTCTGGGCAGGTTCCAGGGTAAAGTGTCCCCCGGAGCCGGCGATGCCGACCCGGATTTAACGCTGTAATCATCCTCGTCTGAGAAATCCGCCGAGGAAGACATGGAGCAGTGGAGGGAAGGGTTCCCCGAACTGGAGCTCTGTGAGACAAAAGAAAACGGGGGATAAAGAGAGAGAGAGGAAAAAATGAACAATGCTTGTCTTGATTTCACTCCCAGGCAAAATGAAAGAGAACGTGGCGCAGGAATAACAAGCGCAAATCAGATGATTTCTCACCATCGCGGGTCAAAGTGCGTAATGTGAGCGCATGTTAGGTGTGAGGACTCTCCGTGACATGAGCCGCCAGCTCGCAATCATCCATAACAATTAAAAATTGAGCCAAATAAAGGCGATGTGAAATCAACAGTAAATGGCTCCCCCGCCAGGTCAACAATAAGACTTACCACTGTATACATGGAGACCTGTCAGCTGGAAGAAGAGAAGAAGAAGATGAAGAAGAAAAAATCCTATTTGTGCGTTATTAGCTTCCACCCTTCAGTCACACATTTCGTGCGTTAATTTCTCAGGGTGCCACGCCCTTTGAGGGATGCTCCGGCCATCGGAGCATTAAGGATGTGAGGTGATGTCAGATCTCCGGAGGGCTGATGGGGATGGTACGCTGTGTGCTGTCGAGGCAGAGCTGGACCGTGATGGGGAGAGCAGACTGCATGTGTCTCCGCGTCACAGCCGGTGTAGCCAACAACAGCAGCTCTAACAGCAACGGCGGTGTTAGAGCGCCATCCCTGCACAAAAAGAGGTGCTGGCTGGCTACACATTTACCTCCGAGGCGAGTGTGTGTGTGTGTGTGGGGGGGGTAATAGGAGGACAAGGGCTCCCACGGTTTCTCATGGCAAGGACTTCGCTACAGATGCACATTATAATCTCCTACACTGTAGGTGGTGTGTAAACCACAGAGGGTAGGGTGGGAAGCATTCATATACATTGTGCTAATTACCTGAGAGGATGGAGTGGATCATGGATGTACAACAAAAGCAGTTGGATTAGGTCGGTTTAACCGGGTTTATTTATAAACCCGGTTAAATGCCACTTTAACCAGAAAAACATATAATAATGCCATTAAATGCAACCCATCCAGGATGATCTCTGACTGTTATTGTTCCTTGAACTTTTGCAGACATTTTCCAGTTGTAACTCGAGCTGCTAATAACATAATTGCTCACAAAAAGGAAAATGATGAAGTAATGACTTTCCTGCTGCACCCTGACACACCTGAGGTTGAGCAACGGAGCAAATGCAGGTTAACACAACCTGACTTAGAAGGAGATGGGTGGGGCGCTAAAATACCTGTATTATGACACCTTATTTGCTTAATGATAAAGGGGAAATGCAACCTAAAAACTGACTATGATCCTGCCTGGGTGATATTTTTAATATAGTAAATCTGGATACATGAAATGTAAATGTGCAGGATAAACTTGAAAGTGTCTGAAAATAAGTTCTGGTTTAAAATAGCAGGAGAGGAATCTGCTTCGGGTTCCAGTGCGGGGTCATTCAGTGCAGAATCTGTAAGAGCTGATAAAAGCAACACACTGCTAATATTAGCAGCCTTTTCATCATTGCATCACTTTTCGTCAGGATAAAACTGCAGCTTAGTGTTGCACTTTTTATCAGCTTTCTGCTTATTCATAATTCCTCCTCCTAAAAGGGGGAAAAAAAATCTCCATGATTTGAGGAAAGTTAATGTGCACTATTATGAAATAATTATTAGTTTGGGCTGTTATGTTCTCCCAAGTCTGTTTTCCACCTTCTTTATGAGGAACAAACTGTACAGGGATAAGAATAGTTGACAGACTGGAGGCCCTCCCCCATCACTTCATACACAGCTTATCCTCTCCATTAGAGAATGTACAAAATTCTTTATTCTTTAATACCCAATATTCTTTGTTCAGGAGCTGTTAACAAAAATGGATATGAGGACATTATACTATATCTGTGTATCAATGAAAAAACACACAATATAGGTTTCACCAAGACATGGCAACCACTCTGGATGATTCATTTTTTAGTCATGCAAATATATCATGAATGATGCATGCCGGGCCGATCGAGGCCTGCACTAGTTTATACTTCTCTATTACATATTAAAGTCTGCTCATTTACAGCCACATCATAGAGCTCCCACGATTCCTTAACTCTCCAAATAGTTTTTCCTGTTGTGGTCCCCAGTCACTTTTCTATTATTACAATAACAATATTAGCCAACACAGATTTGCTTTTTGCTCAGTGCCACATTAAGTATTTCATCTGTACATTGTATCAATAATATTTGAAACATTTTGGTTTTGTTTTACCCATGGCAACAAAATATTCGATCTAAAGGCATCAGAAACCACAATAACACATCGATATACACCTTGTTGTGGTGGCAACGTAATCATTGGCTGGATTATGTTCAGGTAGTTGTATATAAACAAAATTTCCATCAGACAAGATTGTGATATGATAAGTCTTCTCTACTATAGGTGGCTCTAGTCACATTGACATATGTGTAGTTTGCTGACAATGGCAATAAGAAAATTAACCAAACTGTTTGTGTCTGTTATCTGCAGTATTGCAGAACGGAAGCTTGACATTGCAGCATGTTCGCACAGATCAATAGGTTCCTTTGAACACAGTCAGTCATTTCAACATCAGCATCATGTCAAGTCTTATACTTGATTTGATTTGAGATGTTTAGTATAGGGATAAATGTTGGGTAGGATATTTAATGTTCTGGATACAATAAATGACATTCAACACACCCAGAAACATCCAGAGACTCTGTGATTTGATCATTTTCCCAGATCCGAGCGGCAGTACATACAGATAACCCAGCAAACCTGAGGGGGTCATGGCTATGCTCTCTGATTCACGTCCCCTCAAGTCAATATTTCCAGTCCGGCCCAGGGTTTCCTGTCTCTCCTCACTTTACATTTTAACTGCACTATCTGAAGCTGATAACGGTATTGAAGGATGGTGAGCACGCTCTTGTTCGGAAACAGAGCAGCTGGTTCACAGGGTAACATAAAGATGCAGATATGAAAACCTGAAGGCCTAAAGCTGTGGTGAGTTAACAAAGAGCTGAGCTGTTGATCCACATGAGACACATTATGTTTTCATGCCAACATGGTAAATTGTTAACAGGCTTCAAATGGATAAGAGAGGACACATACTGAGATGCTGACTAGGATGACTACAAACTAAAGCAAAATGAATAGATACCATGGAATCTTTTAAAATGGAGGAACTGGAAATCAGTAAAAATCAATTTGTTCAGGTTCTCAGGTAAATACCTTATAAAACCTGTGATTCTTGAATAAGTTAAATGCTCAGGGATGTGTTTGTGTAACATATTCAATACCGCTTTTTAACACTGAGGCTGCTACACCTTTAGAAATTGAACATTAATGTCAAAATACTGGACCAGAGTGGTCCAATCTAGTGTAGAACTTCATATCAGGTATGAATTCATGGTGTCATTTTGTGATTACTAAATATTTCTTATTACCCAAAACATGTATTCGGCTAAATGTATTGTAGTTGTAGTTGCTTAGAAGCATTTAAGATTTTTTGGTGGCTTACCTGAAGAAAAAGTAGATTACCTACAGGACAAGTATGAAATGGTTCATGCCAAATCTATGGGATCTGTTGTTAAAGGTGCGACTCTGGAGCCTTATTGTCTTTTGTGCAAAAATCCGTGATCACCATATTTGTCATATGATGATAAATAAGTCAACAATACACCTACGGATACAAGGTACCGGTTTTCATTTCATAGGACCTATAGTGTAAAGAGACCATAATTCAACAGCACACCCAGGGTCCAAGCCCTGTAGTCAAACACTTGCCCTGTGTCCTTGAGTAAGTTACTGAATCCTTACCGGCTTCAAAGGCACAAGGGTGTCCCTGTGGAGGGGAGCAAGCAAAAAATAGTATCACTTTATCATCATGTGTTAATCAAGGTTACAGGTAAGGGGGGGTACCTACAGGTTTGCGTGTGGGGGTGACTTGTACAGACTGGTAAAATTCTGGCAGGACTCTCTTCTTCACTTTGCGTTTTCGTAGAGTGTTTGATGAGTCAGGTTCACTCTCAGGAACCTCGACCAGATTGGGTTTTTCCTCTGTCACTCGAGCATGTATGCTCCTTCTTGCGTGACGTGGACTGTGCCTGAAGCCCTGGGAAACCATGAACAAATGTCAAGCACACAGCAGATAAGACTTTCAGCAGATTTAGCAAGAGAAAATTAAAAGCTTCATTATAAAAGGAATAATAATTGTGATGTGATCCAGGCTTCTTAAGCTAGGGGGGGATCTGTTGTGTGACCTAGATTTCAGAGTCAGAGAAAGATGATACAGCAATTCCAATCACCACACAGGAAGGAAAGGAAAATATTTCAGTGTAAATTCCGACATTTCTAACTATCGCCCTCTTCCTTCGACCCTCTCTGTGTTTTTCTTTAAGAAGCTGTTTATTGTTACACATTAAGTTTGAAGGTAATGATCAAGGAGACTGGTCTAGCAACTGTCCTGCTGTTGTGTCCTTGAACATGATACTGAATATCCACCAGCTACAGCACTGAGTCGGTAGGGATTCAGTGTCCTGTGGTTAGATAACATAACTCGCTATGGAACGGCAAGCTTTTGGAGCTTTTGATTTAGGAACATTTTAACCACAGTGAGTCACGAAAAGACAAAGAAAAGACAGAAAAAAGAAGACCGTACGCATCAATGTATCAAATGCAAATGTGGCAATGAACCTGAATAATCACTAAATAATGAGTTTATGTGCTAAAATTGCTTTTCACCAACCCCCTTTTTAGTTTTAGTTTTAATGAAATTACAGACAAAGCCTCTCCATACAGGCCATGCCAGGAAGATAGATTATAGAAACAGCCTATTTTGGCAAAGGCTGCCTACTAAAGCAACCTTTGCCATTATATACAATAATATACAATTTTAAATGTTAAGATGCCAAATTTGTGGTGATAATGGTTTAAATTTGTTTTTATGCAGTTGATGTATTTACAAGCTTTAAAATGTCAGGTTTTATTTTGAAAACAATGTGCGTAAAACGGAAACGGGTCGCCTGAAGCTCTACTGGACGCATTCACACAAGCATCAAACATGAAGGATGAATACAGTTTATGGACCATACATTTGAGTAGCTTTCTCTCGGCTCACTTAGACCTGAGTTTCAAGCAATGCGTTTTGGAGAACACAATTTAAAGAGTTTCCATCCACCTTAAAGTATGAAACTGCAAAATCACCTATATGATTTATTGATAACACATGCGCATTGCGCACATCATGGTCCTTAAAATAGTCACGCAGCCCTCGGTTAAAAGTCAAAAGAATCAAGACTTGTGTGTGAAGCATTCGTTATATTGTACATAGAAAGATCATGCAGCCTGAACAAAGCTTTAACACATTTAAAGTATCATCTCTCCTGGCTATTAGATAATATTGAATCACAATGACTCAAGCCCATAATGTAAAAAGTTGATCCTACCTCTGATCGAAAATGGTGCGTTCGGAGGCCAACTACAGGACAGATAACAGATGTTAGAATGGGGTGTTATGATCAAATATTTACCATGAATGTATGACATGTCACATATCAGATATACGTTCGTTCAATATAGCCTATTATAACTTTAAGACATTTCTGACCAGTTTAACTAAAACCTTAATTGCCTTAAAACCTTCCGGAAAATCATGTGTTTGTTTGATCAGCCAAAACTGCAGAGGTCTAATTGCTACAGACTTTTGCTACTAGCTACAACAAATAAGAGAAACATACTATGAAGACGCACAGAGAATACAGTAAATGTCCAGACATAAGATGAGCTGGCAGGGTGAGGAGATGCGGCTGGCCTGCGCTACTCACCGCGGCTCTTGGAGCGTCCGGACAGCACAGATTTTATTGGATGTTTTCCATTACGAAGCCTGCGATGCCAGCAGCAAAAAAACAAAATAGTCGCAATAGTCCCGAGCAAAAGCAGCAATAATAGCAGCACACATTGAATACTGTACGGCCTTAGCAGGACCAAAAACGCCGCAGCGATCATCATAAGACGAGATGTAGGACAGATCCCGCAGCATCAGACAGCTGGCTCCTTCCCCTGCCGTTACACCGCTGAAAGCTCAAGAGGAGAATAAAGACGCTGAGCGACATACGTGAAGCATCGCACAGCAAACCGTGTCAAGCGTGTAGGTTCAAAGTAGACAGCCCAGACTATTGATATCATTATTGTGAGGCACAATGCATGACTCAGCAGAGACGCAAGTTTTATTTATTTATTTTCTCTAACAGGGGGCAGGGAGAGTCAGCAGATTCATCTGAGCATCGCAGTGATGTGCTGCAGAGTCGACAGCCCAGACGGATGATGCTGTAATACTAGTAGTAACAAGCCTATAAGGATCCACATAGACATTCGTGGGTATGTGAAAGTCAACAGTACAGTGATATAGTTTATATGGAACAGATTTTGCATTCGCAACCCATGGTATACCTAAAATGTTACTATTATGTTTGGATCACTATTATTGGTAATACAAAATGCCTGTCTGATACAGTTTATTATAAGTACCTGGGTATATTTTTCTGTACAGGCTTACTACCCCTGTAAAATGTAGTATGCTGTGCTGGCAGGCCCTGCAACGAGGCAGGTGCTATGCACAGACACTTGCAGGATTAGGGGGGGAAATAGAAACCAAATCTAATCATAATCCAACATGGATTATATAATTTTTTTGATGAACTAACATCATGTGCAGTTTTTTTCTTCAGTCAGATGTAAGACTCGGACAAGCAAAGTGTAATGGGTGAAAAAAAGTTTTATTTTCAAATTTAGAAAGGTAATTCTGCACCCAAACAAAAAGCCAGAGGCTGCCATTGATAAACATAGTACTAAACATAGTATGTTAGCACGTGTTATACAACAAACCAATATAACATTGTATCGCTCAATATATTTTTTACATGATCAAAAAAATCTGAATACAGTATGTTATCATACATATGACTCATTAGAATGTATGTAGGCTAATGTATAAGGTTATTCTTATATAGCATGTATTCACTTATGTAGCATTATTAAGTACAAAGTAGTGTTATTCCCACATGTCAGAATAGGCAGAGTATTCCACGTACTGTATGACAACCTATGCTCAGTTACATTGTGATATGTATGTTAACATACAGAACATTCAGTACTTAGACACACGTGCAAAATCTAATACAGTCTAATACAACAGGTTAGTCGTAAATTCCACCTATAGATAATAATGTTCACTTTTTCATGACACTGTCAGACATATTAATTCAATGTTTTGTATTGAGGTTGTGGTTGGCAGTGGTATTGCACTGGACAGCATTACACTGAGAGATGTTACTGATGTTTTGCCCACCACATTTACATACATGAGTGGGGAAGAATATTAGAAACATATTTCAATGTAATTCAGCCCAGGGAAACTCCAGCACATAACAACCACAACAATAAACATATAGTTGAATAAACATATCTTGGAAAGTTTAAACAAAAACTGGCTATTATAAGATTTGTTAGGATGGAATATGTGGCAGAGATGTTGTACTGGGCTGAGTTAGATTATATACAGTAGGTGTACCTAATAGAGTGACCAGGGGTTGCATCTGCAAATACAATTAATTGTCATGTGTGCCGAGTTCTGAGTATGTCAACGTGTGTTCTTATTTGCTAGAAATGCTCACATTTTATTAGTTTATTTATTTAACATTTTTTTATACATGTCTTAGATTTATGTAAGCGATGCACTGTATACTCATACTTATTGTAGTACATGTAAATGTATACTGTGAGCTTGCATAAATACCATTATCATTTGTATACACACATTTTCATAAGCAACCACACACTGGCATGAGGCTGCAGTTTCAATGTTTGCTTAGTCTTGCTTTATTTTATCTTTTTTAGGTGGGGAGGGGTGGGGGGTGTTATTTCTTTTTGTGTGTTGTTCTTCCTGTGTGCATACGAATTTCAACACAGAGGTTTTCAACTGGATGCTGCAAATTACTTAGGCACTAGTGTTTTTTTAAAGGTTCATACTACAACATCTCCACATAATCACAATGCATTTATGTACTTAACATTTGTGCACATATTCATTGTCGGTCAGTACATTTTTGTTGCATGGATGTTACATACAGTATAGCATAACTATATGTCAATTCATTCCCTATATGGTGTCAGAATAATTTAAAATATGTGACATGTATGGATACATAGTTAAGTAGGCTACTGCTAATACGTTTCTCAAATGAATGGTGTCAATTACTTACAATGTACGTTTAGTTATTCATCCGACTGGGGCAATTAAAACATTCAGAGAGTGATACCGTGCCACAGCTTCATACTTCGAGCAGAACTAACTAGACGGGCGGAGTTTGTCCCAACAGCTAGTAACCCCGTCCATGCGGCACACTCCGCGCAGAAAAGGAGCGCTTTAGTGACACATTACGTAGCAGACCAGACTAGCTGCGTTTACTTTGATTTGGGATGTTGTAGCTAGCTGCTTCTCTTCTCAACTGAGGAATCAGCGGAAAAAGCAGCAGGTAATGTGATGCTCAGCTTCATTCATCTGCTTATTTCAATCATATGTGATTAACACTAACCCAAGTCCAAGTTTGGCGTGTTTAACTTACTGTAGTTTAGAGGTGCAAAGCCCTTGCAACTGCAAACAAGAGAGAGCTAACGTTAGCTTACCCGGATTCCGGACGTTGGGACCGTTCTGGATTGCTGTCAAAGTAAAGCACCGATTTCAAAATTTCGCTGTTCATAAAGTTGCTGAACAGACGACGGTTTATAATACAAACCCATCAGATTGCAGGTGAATTTCTTAGCGACAGATTAGGATACTTCACGTCGATGTCAAGTGTGTCTACGTTAGCAAACATACGAGTTACCTCGATGGAGTGCCGCTAAATGGCTATTAAACTCGAGGCAGTCCATGCAGTCCTTTATGGCGCGTAACTTTATCCTCGCTCCTCCTGGGGTTGTTGCTTTAGCAGCTCGGCGGCGCTCACTGCTGCCACCGGAGGCCGAGGGCTATATTGCAACAACAGCGTGATTTAAGAGTATTGTAGACCGTTGCAATTTTGCTTCCACCCATCTATGGCAGCATGAAAGAGAAGCACTGTGAGCGATAAACGAGGAAGAATTTACCCCGCCGCCCCCCTGTTGGATTTTACATTGGTTGTATTGAATTCAATGGAACGACTTGTATAGCACCGGAGTAAGCCGTGTTTTTTGTAACTGTGCACAAGTCTGACATTAATGCGAGGTTCCCGGATCAGTTGCTGGGTGTAATAACTGCACTCCAATATATTTTTACAATGGTTTAACATTTGTAATCTGAGCAACCTTACCTTATTAATACTACCAACGTATATCTAATACGAGAGCTGTACGCTACCTGGGTAGCTAGCTGAGCCTAGGGTGCTGTTTACTCAAGGTCTGGCTTAATCCCATGTCTCCGCTACTTTAAGTGAGCAATTTTTGGTTCTGTTGTTTCTGGTTGACTAAGACAGAATTGCACTGTTGAGGGTCGTATTGAAATGAACGGTTCCCATCTTCGGCTGACTGATAGTTCACAGGTCTAATGCCGAAATTACAGTCGTGGGCGTGCATTATTGCTCAGGTACTTGATTGGCTGGCCTTTGTTGAAAAGTACACCCCCCCTCCCTTTATTTTTTTCACCTGTGTTCAAAATTAGGATTTCAACTTCAGATGTTACCTTAATTAGTTGTTTTTCCACAGAAAAATGTCTTCTCCAGCTCAAGCAGACGAAGATGAGTTGGAAGAAGACGTGGAGTTTGTATCAGTAAGTCATGTGTAAATTTTATCTATTTAAAAAAAAAAAAACGTTCATAAGGTTCCAAGGATAAGATAATCAATTGCATTTGCTTACTTTCTGTCTCTTGACATTGACTGGACTAATTGTGCAATAACATATCAGTCTAGACTGATAACAAGACTGATGTGCTATTTTACTTCCTGAATATATCACATTTGACTCACTGAACAAAATAAGCTCTGTATATTATATTTTATGACTGCAGTGATGATTCAGACATAGATCACTCCTGTTTTCATCGGCATGTTAACATCAAGAAACCACCCTTCTCACATTGCACACAAGCTTTGCAGACTACTTTGATAAATGTTGGTGTGTTTTATAACACTAAATGACATGCTATCTTTTCAGGAGGGCCCTCTCAAACCAGTATTGGAATGTATTGATCTGCTGAGTGATAGTGAGGATGAGGGCTGTTCATCATTAGCAGGAGCGGTGAGTGGCTGAATAGAACACCTTTCTTATTATATAGTGTGAAAACCTGTCTATAATTCTCTAAAATTGTTGTGCCTTCTCTTTCTAATATAGCTTGAAGATAAAATCACCCGCCACAAAGCACGCGTTACATCTACACTGGACAGACTAGCACACCAGGTGGCCCTAGAGAAAAAGGAACGAGCAGATAAGTGTAGAGCATTCAAGGTGAGATCACCTCAGTATAAAATGAGCTGCTATCATTTGTTGCCTGTCAGATTGTAATTAAGCTATTTCTTTTTTTTTGGAGGTGTCTGTATCAGGCCATTGTCTTCACTCACTCACTCCTTGCATTTAAAAGCGAAATGACTTTTGCTCATTGTAAGGGCATGTTTTTAACAGAAAATAATACTAAAGCCAAAAAACGGTTAATGCGTACTCTATAGTTCCAGCTTTCAAATTTGATGTAATCTATACTGAAATAACTTCTACTAGTGTTTCCATCCAAATATTCACATGCATTCTGCACAGACAAACTAAAGTAGATATGCCTTATATATTCAGTGAGATCTATAGTGAATGAGAATGTAGATTGTTCAGTGTCAACTTTGAAATATAATATTTCATTTATAGACTACTCTGTAAAAATCTTCATATCCTTAGTCAAGTCCAGTCCAGTCTGTAGCATCAGTGCTGACAATACTTCCTCAACAACCTTATAAACAGCTGTTATTTGCATTTTATCATTTAATGGCTAAATGTAACTTAAAATGCTCAGTAGAAATGTGTGTGTTTGTCTGTGTTGTGTTGGTTTATGGGGTCAATTAAGGCCAGTTGTGACAACAACAGTGCCACCCTGTGGGCAGAATCGGAAAACAAATAACTGGTGCGCCCTGCAGTACTAGGATGAATAAACAGCAGTGTATTCATTCCATATAACAACATTGTATGTTCTGTTGTCATTTATCTCTGCATTTCTCTTTTTCAGGAGAAGCAAATCTTACAAAAAGCTCATGGACAACAGGAGCTGGCTTTTAGTTCTGCAAATGGAATTAATCAGGAAGCAAAGCGCTGTGTAGACATGTGGTTAAAGATGCCAGGTACATTGTCACCTGTAAATTTGTCAGAACATCATGTGTTTTTCTGCTATGTAGTGTTTGATATTCTTGCCAGCATACTATCTTGGCTGCTGCATTGACCCACTTTCATTACAGGGATGATTACAGTGTCATTTTGATTTAATAGATCTAGCCATGCAAACGCCAACCTATTACCGTGCTAATATGTTGTGTCAGCTGACTGACTCTGTGCACCTGGTTATACTGTACCTTTGTGTTTATTTAGGTCTTCAACCCGGAATGATCGGTGCTGGCTCTGGAAGAAGGCACAGACCTGCTTCTTTCCCCATTAATAGTTCAACTAGACACACGTGTCCAGTGATTAGCTGTGGTCGCATTTATGACAATGCGTCCCTCCTTGATGGGCACTTAAAAAGGTAATCATTTTCTGTTCATTTCAGTGTTGGTGTAATGCTTTTAACCATTTTCTTGTTTACAATTTGGTATATTTTGAAGTAAAATATCTTGTGTGCAGGTTTGATCATTCCCCTTGTGACCCAGCTATCAATCTGAAGGGGAGTCCATCTGACCTCTTTGCTTGTGTTGCCTGTGGTCAACATTTTCAAACCAAAGACGCATGGAGGAAACACCTTGAAACTAAGGTTTGTGCACACAAACTCTGCTCTGTGAATGTTTTAACAATTAGTTCTTGAAAGTCAATCTGACTATTGATTTATAGGAGTAAAATAATTCTAGTAACACTCAGTTTTGAATCTTAGGCGTCCTCATCTGCTGCTGATAATCATAGCATCACTCAGACCTATCAGCGCATTGTGTGTTTTGCCTGTCCTGCCTGCTACCTCCTCTTCAACCTCCGAGACGAGTGTCTGCAGCACATGTCAGCCAAAAACCACTTCACAGAGACACTCACCATGAGTGGTAAGGTTTATTGAACAATTTTATTTTCTGTACATCTTCATTAAAAACCTCACATATCCAAATCTCCTAAACTTAAAGAAAGGACTTCGGTGGTATTATATGAGCAAGATTATGTGTGACTTTTACTTTTCTCTTCTTGTTAAAGAACCCAGAGGAAGAGCACTGCCTGTTCCTCTCCCACAATATGTTAAGAATCGCCTCATTGCTTTGTGCAAGGATGTGGCGTTCAATGTCCGATGCTCTTTATGTCACAAAGTACTGATCTCACACCAGGCAGCTCAAGCTCACTTTAAGTAAGTGTTGTTGAGATTATTCTGGCATGCAGTGTCACATGTTTATATAGTAGACATTGATTTTGTTTGCTTTTTGTCTTTTCTTTTTTGTGAAACTGATTTACTGTGGTTTTCTCCTTATTTTCTTTTTCAGTGTGCACTGCAGACAGGGCTGTGCGGTGGCCAAGGCTGATAAAACAATAGCGCAGGTTATGAAACAGCTGCAAGTACGAGGGCAGTGCTCCCTCTGCTGCAAAATCTTCCTCAGCCAAGCTGAAATTGAGAGACACAAAGAATCGACCCAGCATGATGTGGAGGTCAACCTAGCAATGGAGAAAGCACTTCTTCAGCACTGCAGATTTGGTGAAATTCAACACAGCCAGAGGGCTAAAGAGGCACAAGGGAAAAGACTGCATGGCCTTGAAACATCTTTTCAGAAAAGAATCCGGAAGGAAAACGATTGTGAAAAATTTCCAACCAAGCGGCAGAGACTTAGCCCGACTCTGCATGACAGCACTAGCAGAAACCTAGCAACAGCATGGTACTGCGAGTGCGGTCTACAGTTCTCAGAGGAGGCTGCAGCCAGTAAGCATCTCCTGGCTGTGAACCAGATTTTCCATCAGTGTGGTGTGTGTGGGAAACACATGGGAGAGTCTTCAATTACCCGCCTGCATATGAGTCGCTTTCATGGGGGAGCTCATCTCTCCAACTTCCTCTTCTACTGCCGCAAGTGCAAGGTGGAAATGCCCCGGTATGAAGATATCCTGTCGCACGTGTCAGAAGCTCACAGCGGTCACACCTACTTCACTGAACAAGAAGTGCCTGAGGAGGCTGTCACAGTCATCGATGACAAGCCATCCACCAGCCACGAAGTCCAGCGACATTCATCGTCCAAGTCCACAGTCCAGCAGAACATAGCAGAGCCACCTCCTTCAAAAGCAGAGCAGACTTGGATGTGCAGGATGTGCGAGGACATCTTTGACTCGGAAGCGGCCGTCCATGAGCACTGCAGCGACGTGAGCAGTCACAGCTTTCAGAGGTTCATCTGTGGACACTGTCCACAGAAGTTCTTTAAAGTGTCCACTGTGCGTAGACACTGTATGAACGAGCACGATGGGCAGATAAAGAGCTCCCACTTCTGCGGCCTGTGTGACAGCATGCAGTTGGAATCTGAAAGCGAGTTCTTGGCGCACTACAAGAGTCTTCACAGTAAGGACTACTACTGTATGGATGATGCTGACGTTGTTCAGCCAGCCATTGCCGAAAGCACCAGTCAGCTTACATGCCCATGCATGGGCTCAGAAAAGAGCAAAGAGGAAATGAAGGCTACATATACACAGTGCATGAGGAATCTGGCCGCCGAAGGAAAATGCCAGTATGTGTGTACTCCTTGTGGTGTATCTGTGCCGTCCTATGCACAGATGAAGACTCACGTCCACACAAAACATGCAGCCTTGAATCTGGAGAAGACGTTTGATGTAGAGTGCAAAGCTTGCCAGGAGAGTTTTGCGGGTGTACCAAGTTTCCATAAACACTATCACTCCCAACACTGTACACTGCAACCCTGCATTAACTCCAGGACCTGCAAGAAAGAAGTGAAAGCAGGACCCACCACTGTAAACATACTGAGTGCTGTAGAGATTGAACCAGACAACAATGGTAAATCAGTTTCCATCACATTTTTAGCATTTATTATTTATGTTTACGGCGAAACACAGGTTAAGATTTTAAACATCTGCCGAGACAACAAAGAGAGTCAAGCAAATGAAAGTCGGCAATAAATAATGCATAGCCAGTGTGTAATGTACGCATAGAAAATTAGAGGCAAATAAATATATAATGTTATATGACATCACATTTTAGTGCTTTTTTTTTTTTTTTTTTTTTTTGGGAATTTTTGCATGTCTTTAAGTAACTAATGATACAGATTTTAATGAACCAATTACTCCTTTTTTGTGTGTTCTATAACAGATGGTTCAGATGACGAGATGAAGCATGCTCTGTCTGTGATCGATGAAGAAGCGAGAGAGTCAGCAGGTACAGCATAAAAGGATATAATTGTACCAACTCAAGATATTGATGCACTTAATAATGTTTATGATTTGCTTTAAAAGATAGATCTAAAGCAATAAAATGAAATATGAACAAAGTATTTTTTTGTGTTATGATTGTGTGTCAATTTTATTTGAACTTACTGTGACAGATTCTTATCATCTTTTTTTTTTTGTTTTGTTTTTTTGTTTTTTTTCTTTTTTGTTTTCCTTACAGAGTTGGAAGAAGCGCTTAAAAGAAGTCTTGTGGAATACTAATGACCTGAAAACTTTTTGTGACACAGTTCATGAGACATTCAAATGTTTTGTACAAGGTAATTGTGTTCAGAATATATTAAATAAATGTTAGTTGTTATTTTACTTTTTTTTTTTTTTTTTACATATTTAATCATTTTAAAATCTAGACAGGACATGACAGGCTCCATTATTAGAATTCCTGTCTACTTCAGTTACAGAGCACCACTCAGATCATACTGTCGTTGGCAGATCCGATGTTTTGAAAGGTTGGTTTTTGGCTGCTGATTTACGCACAGTCCTCTGTTGTAAAAGACTCGACAATTCAGTGTGCCGACACGTTTGCTATAGATGGCATCGATGACACTGCAAAATGCCGTAGCTGAACTTGTGACCACAGTGCTAAGAGTGTCTCGAGTTGCAGTCTCTGTTTTCATTGCAGACATGAAATCCAGTGGATAGCCTGCACCAGTCTTTCCTGAAGTGCACTAGATCATCCTTCTAAAATGAAAAACACTTTTCTTTTCTTTTTTTTTTTGTCTTTGTTATGCTGGTCAGAGGTCAACCATATTAAGAGAGGCGTTATTCTCCTGTGCTACAGAAATGTAATAATGCGATAACATAATTTGGAGTACAAGGTACACAATGCACTAGAATAGAATTCTTACACCCATCTGGATGAAGATGAAAGAAACTTTGGAGAATAACCACCAAGGGCCTGTTTTGTGCTTGTTGCAGCAAATTGTTTTTGTGCACCGGTTGTAATATAAACACTCTCCCAGTGGAAGTCCTGTATAATTGCAGTTGCCATTGCATTTCTGGCAACAGCTCTTCGTGCACTGTCAGTTTCCTCATGTTGTCGTTAAAATTTTTAGTGGGTGACTGACTAATTCCTTTTAAAGTGGATTCACACTGCAAGTTGGCATTCAGATGCGTTTTGTGATGCTGCCCTTGTAATTGGGACGTACTGTAGTGTAATTTATTTGCTTGTTTGCTTTTTTGTTCACATCCTCTAAGTCACTTACCAGGTGGTAAACGGAGCGTGTTTATGCACTCATGCAACAAAATGCTTCAGATTGAGCCCTCCTGGTTGTAGAATTTGGCAGCTTCTGTCTAACTACGGTTTCAACCACTTGTGTGAAATCACTCTAATTCTCACTCAGCAACTTGTGTAGAACATGACAGATAGATCTTGGTAATTAGTCTAAGAATCCATAAAATACCTAATCTTTATGATATTCTACTTATTGATAAAAATCAGTATCATCATTAAATGATTAGAAAAGGAGATTAATGTTGAAAAGTTTTTGTCCTTTATCTGATTTGCCAGTTTTGTTAAAAAACAAACAAACAAATGAAATCCCATCCATCTGAGGTCCAATTTAAGCCAAGGTTCCCAAAACTAATGATTCTTCTACTGCAGTAAAGCCAAATTAGGTTTAAAACCCCCTCACATTAATATATTTGTTAAATATGAAAATAAGCACTCATATTTACACATCTGTAAATTACATCTTAGTCTATATTCTTGGGGACCCACTGGAGCTCCTCGGGGACCTGTAGTGGTCCTCGGACCCGACGTTGGGAACCACTGATCTGTTCTGGGCTCCTCGGGAAACTTCTGCGAGGAGCGACTGAAGGAAGTTACAGCCCATGTTAGGAAATGTTCTCCCTGGGGCGCTGCTGCAGCCGGCGGAGTTAGTGTCAGCTGGACGGCTCAGGGCGTTGATCGCACGTACGGGATTTACTCTCAGGCACGAATCACAATAATAACAATAAGAAAAATCATTTACCAGCATGGCTCAAGCGAAAATACAGGCGAAAATGAACGAAGCTCCCTGCAGCAAGTTCAGCAGGACACTGTCCATGGCAGATCGCTCCGGACGACTCCTGGAAAATTTGGATCTGCTGGAAACGAGGTACAGTTAAGTAACAGGCCTGAACCATGTGCGCTATGTACAGTGCACTTGAGGAGCTGTTTGAAGATTTGTCGTGTTTACATTGTGTGGCTGCTTACAGCTTTAATAGTAAGTTTAGTGACAGCAATAAGTGGGTTTAGGAGCGAAAAAAAAAATATATATATATCTATATACATAGATATATATATAGACATAAGTACATAGTTGAAAAATCTGTATTTATTTTGTATCCTAGCGTGTATTGATTGTGATGCTCACGTTCAGAACTGTCATAGTAAAAGCCGTTATTTTTTCACAATGGAGGGATGTGGTTTTGAATGGGCGGTGGAGGTTGTGACCTTCCTCTGTCTCTCTATCAGGGTGGAGGCTTTACGCGAAGCAGCATCGGCCATGGAGCAGGAAAGGGAGTGCATCCTGGAAATGATTCAGTCCATACAGAACAGTCAAGAAATGCGAAACATCTGTGCTGGTGAGGCTGCTGACTCCCACACTGCTTTACTGTGTCTTTGACACTGACCATAATAGAGTCTGATCCCACCTTGTTTGTCTGTTTTCAGTGGTGTGTGTGCGTGTGCGTGCGTGCGTGTGTGTGTGTTTTAAATCCACGCATAGTTGAAGCTGCTGTAACATTGTGATCCAGTGAGGTTATGCTTTGAAAGCTGCATTATAGTTGGGTGGTGGTGTTCAAGAACCACAAGGGATTGAAAGAGGAGTAAGTCAACATGCGAGTTTTTGCACCCCACCCTAGAGAAGACAGAAATTTGCATCAGAGATTCATAGCTTGTTTTCCTTCTTTTTATATATTGTAGGATGCACAAAGGGTAGTTACAGTTAAATGATCATACACAATGTATCACAATTACAATTTCCTGATTTCCCAACTGAAGTATGTCCACCTTACATCAATACAGCTCCAGTCTAACGACACAACACTGTACATACAGGGTCTGGAAATTACACGAACACCGTCCAATCCAGTGATCCTGCCATTAATACCACCACTGTGAATCTTATAGGGAATTATGTATCAATTTTGTTGAGTTTGTTTGGTTTACACACACATATAAACATATAATACAGTATAATGCTAAAATCTGGTTTTGTCAGCTGTATGAGTTGAATCAGCACTTCTCTGACAGTCTTGAAAATGAAGTTCATAAGCGCCACAAGTATAGTGAAGTTAACTGCAGGGCCATCCTGTTGGATTGTATTGCATTAAATTAGGACTGTTCATCTGAGTTGTATGTCATTGGCTTGTGGGAGGAAACTGGAGCAGGAACATGGAAACTCCACTCACAAGGTTGAGGACAAGAACCTCGTTGTGTGGCAACACTTACAGTAGATTGCATATATGTTCTTATTATTGTGTCCACTACTGTACCAGTGTATTTTATTCATTTGAAGACACACTGATTTATCTCTTTATGTTTTCTAGGGGAGAGAGAAGAGTTAGATTTAACTGCAAACCGTCTCATGGGCCGGACGCTGTGTGTGGAGATCTCTGTTGGCACAATCAGAAACTCCCAGCAGGAGGAGGCACTGCGCAAGGCCACATCTATAATAGATGAAATGGTGAAAAAGTTACTGAGTGACATGGATGGCGGCCGGCAGCGGCTGCTGGCCCTGCATGCGGCCTGTGTGTCTGAGGCGCCGCCCGTCCCCATCGACCAAAAGTTTCAGGCCGTCGTGATCAGCTGTGCTCTGGAGGACCAGAAGAAGATCAAGCGGAGGCTGGAGATGTTGTTGAGGAACGTTGAAAATTCTGAGAAGAATATTAAGATTATGGATCACCAAAAACTGGAGGAGCCACAAGCCAACGGCAGTCAATAAGTCAATTAGTCACTAAAACACAACACGTGTCTTAAAAGCCACTAACCTCACGAGAACTGTTGTAATCCTACTAACTTTTAGAGAGACTCAACATGTAGCAGAAAGACTAGTTACTATGGGCAATGAGTAAAGCACAACTCACGAGTGAGCAGACACCAGTATTCTCCTTTAAGGAATATTACAGTGATTTCTATGCATAATCAAGTTTTACTTTTAAACGATCATCATTTACACTGACCTACTTAATATGGATCATTTATTGTGTAAACCCACCAAACGTGTGTTCACGTGTGCACTGAAGACAGAAAAAGATACAGTAGCAGTGGTTCATTGGAGGTCTGTTCCATTGATAAACTTATAAATAAGTTACCATAAAAGTCTACATAGCAGTTAACAGGTATTTTATGACTTGGTTACTGTTACTATGATCAGGAACATCTGGACTGATCCAAATTAAAGTGAAATAATTGATGAATACTAGCTATGGTCAGAAAACTGCCCAGTGTGAAAGTGTCTTTTTCTGTTTCACTCTCACCTTTTAAATCAGACACTTGTTAAAGGATTTTGGGTGTGCATACACTACCTCTTTGTGTGACGGCAACACAAATCACATTAAGCTGTGGATTTAGTTCATATTTGCATAAAACCGTTTTTAAAGTTTAATTGTGTGTCAAAAAAGCAAATTCAAAAAAAAGGCTTTGTCTTATAAGTGAATATGTTAAGGGTGGACTTTTGCTGTAATAGATGGGAATAAAACAGTTATCAGTTGCTTTTTAGGGAACCTATTCTACATAGGTTGTAACACCCTAAATGAACACTTGTTTATTGTCTTCCTTCAGCTGAACCATCTGGTAACATACACATGTTAATCTATGGACTGTATCCTGTTGGTATCAGAGATATTTTTTAAAATGGAGACTAAAACAATTATTTAGGATGGGTATGAAGCTATAAACAAAACATCATAAAGCAATGGTGAAATGGTGCTATAGTCACGTAAGTCAGCTATAAACATCTTAGTAAGCTTAACTATTCTTCCTCTATGGATGGAGTTCGAGCAAACTCCCATATGGTCGGAGGAAAGCTAGTGGTTACAATGTTGAGTTACAAACATTTTTATTTTCTGTCAAACTACTGTTTCTAAGGTTAAGACTGACTAAACTTCCACACCCAGCATGTTTACTAATACACCATCTATTAGCAACAAAGTTTACAGTTTAGTTATTTTCTTGCTAACTCTGACCAAATGCAACTAAACAAAATGTTTTAATGTCAACAGGAGACAGGAGAGTAAGGTCATTTGAAATGACACACTGGATGCCCGAGAAAAAAGTAGTTTTATTTAAGTCAGATTACCGTCAACTTTCCCCCCAAACTTAAGGTGCACAGTTGTGTGGCACGCTTCAAGTTGTGATACATTTGTAACTGTTAAAACAAAAAATCCAACAGTTGAGTGTTGTTTTTGTCAGACTCTAAGCATACATATATTGGTTTGTCTATCTAAATGTGTGAAACTGGTTTGTGAAGTTGTGTGTGAAAAGCAGTAAGACACAAAGATTATAACAACACCTGAGTGACAGCACATAAGTATGGTTAGTTTTAACTTATGGTTCTTTAAGATTATATGCCATCTTAATGATAAAGTGCGCTAAATCCATTCAGTCAAAAAGCAAAAAAGCCAAAAGTAAACACAATGTTACAAGAGAAAATTTGAGAAAGAAATATTTACAGATTCACTGTGCAGGCAGTCTTAAACAAACAGCAAGAGTAGGATTAAAATGCTTACTGGTGGTCAGTAGGGGAGAATGTAAACATGGACAAGGCATTGTGGCATTGCGACCATGGTTGAACATTCACTGATGTGGGAAAAGGCTTACATGCATTAGTTGCCACGCTTTTTTCTTTTTTTCAAAACAGAATTGTTCACATACAAACAAATGAGAGAGCTTGAAATGTGACACAATTTAGTGCCAATGGTAAAACTATTGAACACATTTTAACCGACTGTTGGGATTTTCACAACAGACTATGAAGTGAAAAAAATGAATAAATTCAGTCCCATCTGAACTTGTCTGTAGAAGCTTCTACCACAGATCTGAGATCAGTTACAAAACTTTTAAAAAGACAAAAACATGCATGCACATGTAATCCCAGATGTCCTATGTAATATAATTCCATGTAAAATACTTAGAATCATAACTATTAATAAAGAAATGTTAATAATTTCAGACAGGATATTTAATATACGACTTATCGACACTACCACATATTTCTTTGTGCTTGGTAAACCGGTGTCTTTCAGATAATGAGTTTTGGAAAGAACAATTATAAAAAGGCTTGATTGATGCAGACAAGGCAATAACATACAGTTCACAGCTAGCTGCACTGAGGAGTGAGCATTAGTCTGGGAGATCTTTTTTGGAGTACCCTCGTGTAGTGCGAAGAAACTGGATTTGCTTGCATATTCAGGCAAACACAAGCAGTCAGAAGAAAAACATCCAATTCTGATGGTCAGCTTTTTGTAAAACCTTCAGAGAACAAGGCTTTGCATTGTCCTCAAGACTCCACACCACAGGGGCAGATACAACTGAGCTATTCCCACTCCTCCCAGGAGCAGAATGATGTCAATAAAATAGTAATAACTGATACGATACAACAGAAGGCATACCAAAAATTATAAGTCTTGTACCATTTTTAGTGTTTGAAATGTTATAAATGTAGTGAAAACTGAAAACAAAAGGTAGTGAAATTTATTTACTCTGAGGTTGTGGTGAGTTACTCAAAGCTGCACCACAGTTAAAGAAAAGCTCAGTTAAATATGAAATATGTAAATTGTAAAAGTGAAATCAAAACATGGTACCATAACTGATTGTGATTTGATGTACTTTGATTCAAAGAGCAGAGTATTTAGGTATTAAGGAGGACTATTGTTGACAATAGTTATTGATATTTGGTTATACATAGGAGCACATTCTATTAATTTCATGTTACATCCAAATCACTGCAGTACTAATATTTAACTACAGCTCAGAAAATGGAAATTTGGCACTATGTCAACACTTAAGTGAAAATATCACTCAACACTGTTGTGATTCGTACAAAAATACTTCTGCACAGAGAATTAACTCTGGATTTGATAGTGTTTTGTCCATGAAACAATAGATAGAAACAATAGTCTGTCACTAAACTTAAATGATTCTATCTAGAGTAGGCTGCAACTTCCAAAAGGATTTTTATTCTTCTTGGTCCTTTGTTTGTTAGGTCGCAAAGTGATGACCTCTCTGCCGTTGCTGGAGCTCTGGTTGCAGACATTACTACTTGTGGTATTAAAAACACCTTTGGAAAAACACAATATACGAGTTATCTCACCATACTTAAGAAAAAACACTTAATGTAGCATGAAAGGTGATTTGCAGAAAGATTTCTTACCTATTTTATTGCTCGTTGTGTGGACCACCTCTGTCTCCTCTGCTGTTTGCTGTTTGAGTCGCTGAAGATACTTCTCAGCTAAGTACTTAAAAACTATAAAGACAGAACCAGCAAAAATATTACAAAAGTAACATTAAGAGTGAGACTGTTTCACTTGCATAAGACTATTTGTCCACATTTTCAGTTACCCACCCTCGTTGACATTAAGGTCCTCTTTTACCGAAGCTCGATAAAATCTCAGTTTAAGTCTTTTAGCCAAGGCTTCTGCTTCCTCGCTGCAATGCAAGTGAAGAGAATACATTTCTTGAATTCATGGTAAGGTATACTGCCTGAATTACATTTCACAGTCATTACCATTTGTCCCTCACATTCAACTGCTTTACTGTTCCACTGTGATTTTTACAAAGAAAAGAAAAAAAAGAAAAAAGAAACTTACTTTTTTATAACAGTCTCTTCCAGGAGGTCGATTTTGTTCTGCACTAGAACTGTGGGAATATCTCCAACCTCTGCCTCCACCTTCTCCCTCCAGCTGTCAATAGCCTGGTACGACTCCCTGTCTGTGGTAGAGAAGACTAGCACACATGCTTGCGCGCCTGGAATGCAAGACAACACACCATGACAACAATTCACATTTTACAAGCTGCTAAATCTAAAAAAAAAAACTTCATCTATTCTGCTATAAGTATGAGACATAATTCACCCTCCTTGAGGATGTAAAAACACTGTGAACTTCAAAACAGCCTCTTTGGAGATTCACTTTTTAGGCATGTTTACTGTGGTATTGTGTGCCAGAATATGTGCTCTGGTTAAATGCTGTGCTGCCAGTAAACCATAAAATCTTTGAAAAAACAAACAAAAAAAAAAACAAAACCCCGGTGGTAAGTGAGGTCAGTGACCCAAAGCAACAGTGATACGTTTGTTGCAGTGTGAGGGTGTGTGTGTGTGTGTGTGTGTGTGTGTGTGTATGTGTGTGTGTGTGTGTGTGTGTGGGGGGTCTTACCACGATAATATGCCTTGGTGATGGCGTCAAACTCCTCCTGCCCAGCAGTGTCCCACAGCATTAGTCTGACCTCTTCATCATTTACACTAAAACAATGAACAGGTAATGAGGCTATATAAAGTATGTAATAACTCCTAGTTAGCATAACAATATCCTACCCAGCACAACACAGTCATTTTTTTCTCTGTAATATTCATGTATGTTTGCCAAACCTGCTCTTGTTAGAACATTTTTTACATTTTATCTCACTGTTTCCTAATTAAATCAAAATAAAATGATGCATCTTATTGGATCTTCATTATTGGAATGTAGACAAAAAAAATCTTTTATTAATATTATATTATCTTTTATTAATAAAGTTGTAGTTGTTGTCTGTCAACTTTACAATAACCTTAAAAAGTACAATATATGTCTAAACTGTGGTACATCAGAGCAGAGCAGTAACTACCTGATAGAGAAAAGAGAATTTCTGTGAAACAAGCTGCTTACAGTATCTGCCTTTCCAGGAAGTCCACTCCAATGGTCTTTTTGTAGTCCTTAGTGAAGATGCCCTTGCAGTAGCGTTGGATCATACTGGACTTTCCGACAGCTCCGTTGCCAACTACCACCACTTTGATGGCCACTTCCATGTCCTCCTCCAACATGGTGGCGACGTCTGGCTGCTTTTCTCAGTTCCACTCTGCCCAGGTAGATTCAGTGATGTGACACGGACACATATACCACCTGAAAGCATAAATTAAACAAAACATTGACGTGTGGCACATGTTTAGATACTGTAAGTGAAACATCAACACGAGTGCAGCTAAAATACTGTATTGTCATTTAACACATCCTGATCTAGTTCACATTTGAAGCCATCACGTCAGTGACTCAAAGACCTCTCTTTCATCAACATGAATTTCCACTTGTTATTAGCACTTTTCACACCAAAATACAGCTCTGATTAAATTGGTTAGATAAAAGTGGTGGGTGTAAGTAGTCAACTTTTCTTAAACTTATTTCTTATCCAATACAAACAGTACCTTTATATTACAGGTTACTAGGGCTGCAACAAATGTTTATTTTTGTTATTGATTAATCTGCAACTAATCTTTTTTGTACAGTATACAGTGGGGTCCAAAAGTCTGAGGCCATTTTTGGGCCCCACTGTGTGCCAAAAATATCAACAAAATTAAAAATTACAAGAGTATAAAGCTATTGCCTCTTCTGCTTAGCCAACAGTTAAAACTTTATAAGTATCCAATTAATATTTTTATAGATCATCCAATTTGAAATCTTATAAATCTTAGCACTACAGGTTATCATAAGAATTTAATTAAGGACAAGGTACACTCTAATAAATGACTTTATATACACAATAACTGGAATTGCCCTTTTAACTATTATGTGTGTGCTCAATTTGAACAAACGATTGTAAATTTTACAGGGAACTTGTTTGGAGTGGCTGTGCGATGTGTTTATTCTTCCATTAGGACTGAGAGCAGCAGACTTCGCATAGCAACGGGGTCTTCCACAGTTATATGTGTGTAGCTGCTGAGTGCAATGATAAACAACATCTTGTGGGAAAGCTGTTCCCAATGGACACTGACAACCTACTGTGTGACTGTGATGTCCAACAGCCTGTCTGTCACAATATGTACTGTAGTAGAGGATATTATTCATGAACCATAATTGAGCCGCATTATGCAGCAGTTGTAATTATATATGTATAAATTGTTATTGTGATAACACGTAACCAAAACATGGCTTAAAATAAAACAGCCTGGTCTTTATTTGTATGCTCTTTTCAGGTTAAGTTAATACAATACACTTGATGTAACTCAGAACCTGTTCTTTCTTTTAACTTGCCATCTCACAAGCAAAGGTAAACATTTGCAGTTCTTTCATATCTCAGTCTAATCATTCCTAGATGTGCAGTTTAAATTACGGTTAGGGTTAGGTCACAAAAAGTGATTCAAAGTGGATAATAATTGGAGAACAGTCGACCACTAGTCTTAAACAGTCTGCTCAGACACAATAAAAAAAAATTAAATATCATGCTATTAACATTGATAATAATGTTGGGCAATTATTTAATGTGTATCACTGTAATCACAAAGTGTGGTATAATACATCAATACAAAGTAATAAAGCAAACAACGATCACAATGATTTCTGAGATATCTGAAAATACCAGATGAAAAGTTTGACTGCACATTACCATCAACTGCAGTATGATCACCAAAGATTACAGTTAAACAGATAATTTTCCATACCTGCACAGATAACTATGCTAACTATATTGAGGGTCCTCTGGTTATCGTATTTGCAACCTACAATGAGATCATTACCCCATTCATACAACATATTTATATAAGACATAAACAAACTAAAATATAGCCCTGTCGTTGACATGAGAGGTTAGCAGGGTTGGGTGTCCTGTGCATTACAATGCACATATAAAACAACTCTGTTAAATATGTAGAAGATAATACACCTCCCCTCCAAGTCAGTGAGTCATCTTCACAGACACACCGTTAATTTAGCCAGGCGTCAAGGCGGGGCACCGTTAAAGCCAATATTTTAGGGCACAGGGAGAATACAATTATTATAATGGTATGAGGTGTAACAACTACTTTCTGTCGAAATTTACTGCTACTGTAGGCAATGTAGTATTTCCAAAGTCTGCTGGTGGAATTAAGTTGACAAGTAAACTTTTCAATGTTTTTTATTTGCCCAAATCAGACTCCCTCGCCCTCAAGATATGACCTGTTGAATAGCAGCTTTAAGTACCGAACAGCTGCTGGTGTAGTCCCTTAAAGCTGACTGAAGGAAACGGTTCTGGACAGTGAGAATTAAAAACTAGCAAACCCACAGAGCAAGAAATTTCTTACCTGTAAAATCACGTTACGTCTCATCTGATGTCCGCCAACATAAGATGAGGTAACCAGCCAGATAACCCACAATCACATATCTACAGTCTCCCCCTGCTCTTCCCTGAGGCAAGAGGAGACGCTAGTGACTCTGGTGCTAAGGTTACCTAGCTAAGGTTAGCCACTTTTCCCAGAGAAAAGAAGCTTCTGCTCCGCCCGTTAATAATATCTAGCTAATGTCTGCACAGAGCCAGTGTGTGTTTTCCGCTTCAAAAAGGCTGATAAAGTTTAATTAACGTCGACCACTGAGTAAAATCTGTGACATTTACGGGATGAAGATTACCATCTATCGGCATTACTGTCTATCGGCGAGCCAATGTTCCAGCTAACTACGTTGCGCATGAGAGTAGCTAACCTGGCAACTGGCTAGCTCGCTAATGTTTGTTGCTAAGCAGCAGAGCCAAAGAGTGCACAACGCAAGATAGTTAACATGAAACACACGTCTCGACGTAGAAGTCTTGGGAACATTTGTAGTTCTAAAGTCACGACTGTAAATGTTGAGGTACTTGTCATGTCGGTAAATCTATAATCACTCCTTCCCGACAATGATATGATATGTTCTTCACAACTATCGTGTGAGTGTTTTATTTCTGTGGCTGACTCAATGTGAATGCCATTATTCTTCGTGGTGTAGAAAGTATTCAGATCAATTTCTTAAATAAAACTACCAACACAACAATGAATAAATTAAATCATAATTATTCATAATTGAATAAATAAATCAATCAATAAATAATAATGATATAAATGTAACTACAATAAGTAGAATATATCCCCCTGAAAAGTATACATTTTAGTATTGTCTCTGTGTGACATGGACAGTAGCCTAGTTGACCATCGACTATATTATTTACAGTCTATGGTTATGGACATTGGCAGTCATTAATATCTACAGAGCTCGTTGTATTACGTTCAGTCACAGAACAACGAAGATGATGGTTGAGTATTTTCTATTGACTTTGATTATTAATGGCAGAAAGCGTCTCGATAAATAAAGACGGGGAGCTAAGATTTGGTACGTATTAATATCATATTCTAGAGAAAAGAAGTCTTCATTCGAGGTTATGGGTAAACCCACATGTTCTGGGTGCGTTTGCTATGTAGTACAGATGCCCCCGCAAGTTCCTGTTGCACCCAGGTCGACGACAACAAAAGAGTCATAGAAATGACAAAATGTAAAAACCATGACTTATTTTAAATATCAACTTCTCCGGATACACGCCTGGTTCAAATGTATCGTCCAAAAGTGAGAATACTTTCTAATCTTTCCATGGAAGTCGTCAACAACGGGAGAGGCACACCGTGTCAGGCGGAACAAGAAAACAAGTGCCCTCTTTATGACAAGGTTTCTCTTCCTGAGTTGGTTAAAAACGTCATCGTTTACCCGCGTTTGTTGAACAACCCACTTTGTTTGGCGGGATTGAGTTGGGGGCAGCTGCTTCATCATCTAATCGGTAATGTAACGGCAATCTTGCAAATTAATTCTTCTGCCAGTTGCTTGTTTGATAAATTGCTCCGTTTGTTTTAGAGCTTCGATTTCAAGTCAGTTTCCAAGGTAGCTTACTGTAAGTTAGCTAGCATCTACAACAACCCTCAAGTTGCTGTTCTGCGTTTAGCTAACTAGACAGTGTTAATGATAGTCTGGTTAACTTTCGTCTCTGATACTCTCTAAGTGAAGTCTCAAGCTGCTGGTCTGGAGCCAGTGTAACATAATAAAGCTAGTAGCTTGTCAAGTAAGTTATCAGTAAGTTGTGAGCTCACGGTTGCCAGGCCAGATTGTGTATCGTGGAATTAACTTCATAATAGTCTTTACAGAGTTTAGTCAAGGTCAGCTTTCTAGCCCAAGTAGATGCAGCTAAAAATATGTTTTGACAAAGAGAAGATGCCTCATGCATGTGTATTTTTCTTTCTTCTAACTTCCATATTCTACGACGGTTTGTCTTTGGATTATGATGATTTGTAAAAAGATTAGCTCAGTGTCACTTCTGCACAGTTTTGATGGCACACAGTTGGTAAAAGAGTTTAGGCAGTCATTTTATTTATTTGTTTATTTATTTATGTTGTGAGGAGAGTCACAGCATTCTTGATCATTTCAGACCAGATCATCATTTGATTGTTAATTATTGGCAGTGGGTATTATGTATAAAGCCAAACAATTCTTCTCCAATATACCATATTTAGTCCCAAAATGCCAGCACCCCGGTAAAGAATTGTGCATCTTGTTTCATTTTGATTAACTTGTCTTTTAGGGCTGCAGCTGATTTCCACCTCACTGTGTGTGCATTTCAGTTGCACCAGATATCCCAACAAGGTGTCCACTAGTGGCCTATTATCTCGTGGTACATTAAACATACTTTTCCTTTACCATTAGGCAAGATGCAGTTTGGTAGCAGAAGAAAGAAGATTGACACCAGCCCTCAGACGGAGCTCTATGGACATGCTCTGCAGTTCTATGTGCAGCCTCCTCTTGAAAACATCTCTCTCTCTGAATTTGAGACATTTGCTGTGGACAGAGTAAAATGTAAGTAGTTGGTCTCGTGTTGATCAAATGAAATTTGAATTATGAAATTTGGTATAAGCACTGCTTTCTCAGGTGTTGTGAAATAATTTTTTTCATATTAAAAAGGAAGTTTTCTTTTAATGTCAATGCAGTGTTGAAGACCATTGAGAATTTGGGAGTGAGCTACGTGAAACTGTCAGAAGACTACAAAAAGAAACTGTGGAATGAGTCTAGAAACCTGAACTTTCCTTACAAACTAGAGGCTGTGAGTATTTTAAGCATGACATACATCAAAAACTCTGCAGTGCAGCTTGTATAAACCGTTATACTCAAATGCATACAGTTTCTCAATGTTCATTTACCAAGTGTTGGCTGTTAGATGAAGCATACAGGGCTTTCATCCTGAATTGTCACACTACATTGATCCATATTGGTAGTTTGAGCTGTAGGTGAGGGATGGGAAGTGGTATATGTATCGGTAATGTTGACTATTCTGGCTTTTAGGTTGAGTTTGTACAACTACAAAATGTGTTTTTGCATGGACTCTGAACAAACATCGTTGTAAATATTAATGGTTTTAACATTAGTTGAGGTAAAATGTTTAGTCTGCTACAGACAGACAGACACACATATTAAAACACAAAAGAAGCGATCACTGAGAAAGTCAGTGGGTAGAAAGCTGTCTTCTTACTTCTCAAGCTGAATTACAAAAGCCATTTTACACAATGGCCTAAATTCACAACAGCTAGCAAACAGGTATTTTTTTAAAAATGTTTATATCTTGTAAACACAACTGACAGTAAAGGCTGTGATAATATGCTCCTGTCTTTTACAAAGAGGAAGTCTAAAAACATGGATGCATGGATGAACACATACCAACAGATTTAATCGGTCAGTTTACATGATCGAGCAAGGAGCTTGCGGACAGTGTCCAATGTCCTTCAGGGCCCTTTTCAAAGTCTTTTAAGAGACAAGCTGCTCATTCCATGTTCAGTAAGTCCAGATATTCCTCCATCCATGCATCCCTAGATAAGCAGCACGGTTTATGCTCCTTCCAATTTAAAAGAATTAGTCAAAGTATCCCATTATATTAACGTAATTGTAAGAAACTCTCCAAATGCATCTGAATATCTTGTGTCACTTCCGATGTTGCCTCAATATTCATGTTACACGAATCCCATCCTATCCATGGCATCCTTTTTCAGGTTGTCCCTGTGTGGTACATGCATGTGCATGTTTACAACAATAATCTGCCATAATGTTTACCCAAAAATAGCAGCTTGTACTATGCAGTCACTATGTAAACAAACACTAGTAGCTTACACCTGTGGCAGGTTAGCCTCAGGTGTAAGCCTCAAATACTCAGGGTGCAGTCAATTCTCAATATTCCAAGACAGAATATGAAATTTTTTTTTTGTATATGTAATATACATAATGTCATTTAAAATGCCTTTTTTAGTCTGTCAAGGATGAAAAAAAGTCTCAGATTGGACAAGATGAATATGAGAAACGAAGAAAGGATCATATCTCCCACTTCATTCTCAGGCTCGCCTACTGCCAAACGTAAGTACAAATGATTTTAAATTTAAATAACAATTGTATTGTATTTTTTGACAACAAATGAGTGTCATTCAAAAGCAACCAAACTAAATATTCATTTTCAATGATCTCTTAAAGGGAAGACCTCAGGCGGTGGTTTATACAGCAGGAAGTTGATCTTTTCCGCTACCGTTTCGATGGCATGCTGTCAGATCAAAAACGTGAATTTCTGCACAGAAATAATCTGCAATATAACACAGTAAGTTTCTGAAGCCTTTATTTTGCCTTGATTTAAAGGAGCTATTTGTAAGTTTTGCTATTGCTACATAGCCAGCATTAGCATTAACAGCTGTTTACTTACCAGTCTTAGCCATAGCTTCATTCATCATTGCGTTTACAAAACAAGGTTATAATACACCCTCTGAGCAGCGCTACTTCTTTAGGGCAGACTTAAGTATTGAGTGTGTCATGGGAGACAACAAGCTGTATAAGCTGCCTCCATTCACAACATAGTGGTATTCAGTTGTATTTTCACTAGATGGAGCTGTTTGATCACTGTAACAGGATCTATAAATGGTGAGGTATTCTTCATTGGTAGTTAAAAAGTTTCATTTTTAAAAGTGTTTTTTTGCTCTGTTTTTGGTAAAAGATTTATTTGTAAAACAGATTATATTTCAGGGATGATAAATGTAGATAAATGCTATTTTTAACAGTTTCCCTAACCACTTGAAGAATAAAAGTGTAATAACGGTGTGTTTAGTTTCTGTTTTACTTAGGTGCGTCTAAAGACACACTTTAAGGAAAGCACACAGCAGGTTTTCATAAATGGAAAAAAACTATTGAATAATTCATCTACGCATAATGAGTCGACACAAGAATGAAAATGGTGCATTAATTTGATAAATGACATTTGGTTTCCATGAGCTTCAACCTTCAATGTATTAACACTGACACAGCTCTGCCTTTGCAGCTCTTCACTGAAATTCATCATCCTCTTCAATAACTTTTCAGATTACTGTCGAGGAGAAGAAGTCTCTGCGGGAACAGCTTGTCATCTCCAGTTACGCCGTCAGTGGAGTCACTGTTGAGAGTCAGGACTTCTACAAAGTGAGTTACTCGTGTCTGTCCATTGAGTCCACTAAGAAAGTTAAGTGCTGATGTGCCCATAAAACAGTTTCTAGTCCTTTTTAGAATCCAGTAGGTGCAGAATCTAGACATGGGACAATGAACATGAAATGTTTTGTATTCTGAGTGTTAGAACTTTAATAAAGATTTGAACATTTGTATCTTAACAGCCAATCAGAAAATGCTTTTTATGTTAAAATCACCCTCTCCACTGTAATTATCCTCACAGTGATTCTTCCATTCACTATCAAAAGCTCCAGGATTTCCAGCTGATGGTTATTTCTTTGTAATTTTGAGTTAACAAGTTAACAAGTTTAACAAAGTTGTGGGTTAGGGTTAGTCTTTCAAAGAGAGTGGATTGCCATGTTAAAGGGTCACTCCACCAGTTTTACCCAGATGATGTCATCGGGGTTCTCTCAGATAAGCCTCACATTTTTAACAAAAAAGGTTGTGATTAAATCTTGAGGTGTGGAGTTTAAAAATGTGGCGTTAGTTAGTCGGGGAAGTTCTATAATGGGAAATGTAGGATCTTGTGATTTTGGAACCTGACCCACACTACGGACTAAAAGGCCGTTCCTATTTGAAGGCATTACAAAGTAAAGTATACCAGGTTACATAATTTGGGTCCCATTCACTACTGATGAGATATAAATCACTAATGTTAATCATTAATTTGAGATATTGACCACCATTAATACATGTAACAACTCGGATCACAGACTGTGCAATCCTCCCATATGACTTTTGTAAAAAAGGTTGGGTAGAATTTAGAGAGAAACTTACATAGATTCATAGATTTTTAACTTTTGCCTTTGGGCCAATGTTAAGCTTGGAATAACTGCCATAAGAGCTTTCTTATTAGTGTAAACCATTCTGTGTAATACTAACCTGCTCAAGAGTGTACCAGTCACTCTTAAAATACTCTTAAAAATAAATAAAATATTGATTACACTGAAGTAAAGCCTTCTTAGTTCTATATTTTTACTTCAATTCCCCCTACACCCAGGGCCAATGTTTTGTCAGATCAAGTCAGAACATCTTCTAATATGAAATAAATAAGCAACTCTTTCTCCCTCAGGCAGTTTAAATCAACTTATTGGAGAATGCATACTCTCCCAAATGCATCTGAGTATCTTGTAATACTACTTGAGAAATGTTCTGACATAATGTTGTTAAATCATTAAATGTTCACATAGTGGAGGAATCTCCTAAATCAGTGTGAATAAAGAGCCTGAAAAGTAATTGCCTGATTGACAGATCACCATCATAACCTTTCACAGATGACTAAGTTTAAGTCTGTTTGTCTGTTCACAAAATGAAAAGGAAAAGTGGAAAATGTCATGGCCTGCTACATGACTTTCATTTTACATTTTATGCTTGTTGCTGACGGTCTCTTCGTTGAGAATGTAAATCATTACATTCACTTTATTGAATATCACTAGAATAAGTCTAAATCCTTGGACCACATTTTAAGTGGCCAAAAAATATAAAGGGCAAAAGGGTTAGCATCAACCTCCTGACACTTACTATACATGCCAGCGGAATATTAAAATGTATCTTTTGAATGCATTATTTATTTAAAACATTTTCTCTCCAACTCTTGTTTTGTTTTTTTAAAGGTTCCCTTTCAAGATGCCCTGGATCTAGTGCGAACAAGGAAAGTGTACCTCAAAGCAGGCTACGTGTACATCCCTCATCAGGACATTGTCACCATTGTTCTCAATGATTTTCGCACAAGGCTATCTAAAGCTCTCGCAGTGAGTGTTTACATCTCTACTGTTTTTGAAAGGCTGAATAATGGGTCTTATGTTGTGTTCCAGAAAGCTCAAACACGGATGAGAATGTGTACTTGAGAGAAATATATATATATGTATTTATATATGTGTGTGTGTGTGTGTGTATATGTGTATATATATATATATATATATATATACATATACATACACAGTATGCATATAGCATGTGCATGTACAACTCTGACATGAAAGTACCATAGATTTGAATCAACACCTTTCTGACTCACTACAAGAGCTTCACTTTACATTACATTGCAAAGTGTTTCTGTTATGTCCACTTCCTGTACATGTAGTTTCTGTAAATGTATTTTGTGTATACAGTTATCCTGGGTGCATAATGCGTATTATTAAATTGCAATCATGGCGGTTCCCTTCAGAGCCCTGAGGGAAAGTGGAGAAACTCATGGTTCAAATGAGGGGAATGAGTATGCACACATGACATAAAATGTCTGGAGGGAAGACTGGGGACAGCTAGTGTGAAAGTGCTTATTCTCCCTACAGGCATGATGTTTTTTTAAAAGGCTGTTGAAGGGAGTCTGTGAAGTCGCAATATTGGCACACTTGTGCACTGCATCGAATGCCCTGTAGGATGTGAACCATGATGTTTTGGGAACCAGAGGCATATATAATACATGTGAGGAGACAACCAAAGTTCAGGTTATATCGTGGTGATCAACACCCAAAGGCAGTGGCACTGTACAGTTCATGAATAGGCTTCTGCAGGAAATTATAAAATATGCAAATATAAATAATATATTTTATACCTCAATTAATCGTCTTAACATTATAAGAAAAGAGATGTTGGAAAAATGATTGTTGGATCAAAACAAGCACATTTGTCCTGATATGTTATAGGCACGAAAGGAAAAACCACATTCGTGTAACTATTTTTGAATTTGAGAGAATATCTGATTAATATGAGGGATCAGTGTTTGCATAGTTGCATCCACCTTCTGCTGAAAATGAACCTGCCATTTACACACTGCTGCAGATCCTCGGTCGCAGACAGTGGAAGATATCCTTTGAGTTGAACAGTGAACCTTGCCACTATGAAGAAGGTGTATCAGTAGATATTTGCTTCTTCACTGGTCATGTGTGTGTCACAGGAGTTAATTGAATCTGTAGTTTTTTTAAATTTTATTTCATTTTTACTGAATGGTGCAGATACACAATCGTTTGATTTGCATTTTCATATGCGGTTTGTTATCGGTACCCACAAAATATATGCAGTATTTAACCTGCTTCATATTGATTTTAGATAAATGCCCTCATACAGTCAAGTATTCCATATAGTTCTGGTGTCTGGTGGACAAACTGGCATTTCTGTATTGCAATTATTAATTATCCACCCAAATACACCAATACAGCTATTTCTGCAATAAGCTAATATTGGCTAATATATTGGGCTAGCTCTAATACCTGTGCACACATACATGTATATCATGTGTCCTCTTATAGTTTGATTTTTTTTTCCAACTAAAAAAACACTTTGTCAAAAGAGACACCAGATGCATTGTCTTTCCAAAGCAGCTGTTTGTGTCTACCTTGGGACAGGCGGTTTGTTGCTTAGCGCCTAGAAAATCCTTTAGCAGTTTGAACAAAGGTTAGTTTTTGTTCTGTGGTTGTGTTCTGCTGTCAGTCCCTCGCATTCAACCGAGTAGTCACTTTCAATCAGTGCGTTTTTGAGGTAATACCTGTGTTCACAACAAAGAGTGGACTCTGCTCAGCCACTGATCTAAAATGCCTATTGACAAACTGAATCTCTCGTCTAAAACTCACTACTGGGCAAGTAAAGAACTCAACTGGCTGTAGAATTCATTCTGATGTCCAAATAATGATTAGGTCGCTGTAATATAGAAAGTCATTATCTCTGTATTAATGTTGGCATAGTGGGCAACATTTGCTTGATTTGCTTTAATCTGAATGCATTTCCTCCCTTACAGGAGGACAGGCAGGCAGGATTAGAAAAGGAAAAACAGAAAAAAAAACAAAAAAAAACATAATAAGGACAACTTGGTCCAGTTGGGCCTTTCTCCAATTTTCTGGTAATTATCCGGACCACTAACTGCTGGAATGGAGTAATGCTCCAAAACTATTTTTTGTAACTGTGCCATTGTGACTGTTTCTGTGTTACTATGTCTATTCTCCTTGTCTGGGGACAGCAAGGGGACATTGCCAAAAATGTGCCATTAAAAAGGCATAAAATGGAAAGCTGCCTCTCCATATGACTCCAATGACCAGTTATTTGTTCGATGTTCATTTCAACAGGCAGAGTATTGTATATTAAACTGTTTTTGTGTATCTGTAGGGCAGACCTTGAAATGTTTTAGACTGTTGCTGATTGGACTCGTGTTAATGATGCAGTTCATCTAAAGCTTTTTGTTGAGGAGAGATGTGCCTCCATCTCTAGGTTTGCTTTTGAATTAAGAAAATTGAGCTCAAATAGACTGAGACAGCATTAAAAAGTATCTGGAATTTATTCCTGATTGATAATACAGTGTATTTACATGTTTGGTTAAATCATTTTTAATTTTTCCTGATCAATTTGGATAATGTGATCTTATATACGTGTACTTTTAGTTTTATTCAACCCACATAAGCTGACTCCATGACCTTGTATTTTAATTCTTGTTCTACGCATTACTTAATCTTTGCACTTTACCTGCAATGGTCGGCTGTTCTAATCCTTTGACCTACACTGCTCACCATCACTCATGTGATGGCCGTCTCTCTGCAGCTGACTGCCCGCTCACTACCAGCAGTGCATTCTGATGAACGGCTCCAACCGCTCCTTAACCACCTCAGGTAAGCAGCAGGATTGATAACTTTGTTGCCATTTTTCCAGAACTCTGTTGAAAAAGAGATTTAGCAGGATTGATCTTTGGCACCAAGGAGGGCTGGGGGCTTGTGCCTGGTCTGATTTAACCCAGTCGGTCCCTGTAGACAAGTCCAGATGTTGTGGGGACTTATGGTGCCTGGCTACGTGGGCACCATCATCTATTTTTATTGTTAGTTAACTCAGTCTTGAAGCAGTAAGCATTATGCAACATGTGCATCACGTCTCCTACAATTTCTCAAGCACTGTTATTGCATTAGCTGTTGAGTGGTGGGGGGCATGTTTTTCCCCCCAGTAATTGCTTTTTGGGATAAATTACTTAATTGATTTAGAATTTTAAATTGTAATGCATTTTCATGATCAAATCATAGATTAAGCAGAGCTCAGTATGCAGCCCTCATAAGTTGAACTCCATATGGTGGGAATACCTGCTTTATGTCGTACTGTGAGCAGACTGTGATCAGCGCCTGTGATGCGGACACACTGCAAGTTATTTTCCATAAGACATGAATGCTGCAGTAAAAGGTGTCACTTATCTTGATGTATTATAGTGTTCAGTTATGCCAAAAAATGCAATTCAAGCCTGTCACTTCATTGAAGTGCCGCACTAAACCTGCATCTTGTTTTATCAGACCTGCATTGCAATGTTAAAAAGCACCTTAAATGTTAATATAGTTTTTTTTTTCAAACAATAGAGCTGCTGCTAACTTCTGATACTAAGGCTCACCTCTTGTGCATAACTCGATGTAAAAACCTTAAACGTGTTCACCACTGAAAGTTGAAGTGAATCAGCAACAGCACATGAGTTTGCATGAAAAGGCAGCTGACTTCATTTCATCTTCAGTAGCCAAGAAGAGCAACTCAGAGCACAGTGAGGGTGTTTATCTTACTTTAGATAAAAGTAGGAACATGAATGTAGGGGTGGGAGAAGTCGTGTCGCTTGATTGTTGTTGGGGATTAGTGGGCAGGTTGTTGAGATTAGTGGGCAAGCCGCTAATCTCTGTGGTGGGGAGGGGTAACACAATGTGATGTGAAGCACTGCCACACGGGACTTGATGGATTGCCAAAGTCATCGACTTAAAAATCTACTGATAGCAGCTTAGCAGTTTCAAGTTTGTTTGGCAGGAGGTTACAGGCATGTGTCCCCTTGTTTTTTATTATTGCAGTAAAGTTTTCATTATTTTAGCTGTGTCCAGTCTTACTGTCAGGTCTTAACCTGATTTTCTATCAAGAAGATTTGATTTGAGTTAAGGGAACATGGCTCGGAAAATATGTTCACTTTTTATGGCAGCCACAATTGCCTCTAAAATTGCATTAATATTCCTAAAGGAATACAGTCTCATTTGTCACAGTCCTGATATTTTTCATGTTTTTTTTTTTTTTTTGTTCTTTCAGTCATGCCTATGTGGGACAGGATTACAGCATCCAGAAGAATGTTGGGAAAATCTCCTTGGAACAAATTGATTCAGTGAGTTGCACTGACCATTTATTCTCGAAATGTCAAGTTCAGGGTGCCATGTTGCCTGGGAATGGGTGGTGTAAAAGGGGAGAAATGATGCTTGTGTAGTAACTCTGGTGGCCCAGAGCTAGGAATGAATCGAAAGTGTATTTAGTGTCACGTTAGTTTTAATCAGTCAGTTCACATTATGTTGAACATGTGGACCATAGAATGGGAATAAACAGGTACTGATGAATTATATTAGTTTATTTTTGCTTATTAGTCATTAATTGTCTTCTGCCTGTAGCTTTCAGGAAAGTCCTTCCCGCTGTGTATGAAGCAGCTCCACCAGTCACTGAGAGAGAACCACCATCTCCGCCATGGGGGACGTATGCAGTACGGCCTCTTCCTCAAAGGTATCGGCCTCTCTCTGGAGCAGGCGCTGCAGTTCTGGAGGTCAGAGTTCACCAGAGGGAAAGTGGATGCAGACAAGGTAATGTTGGCGATATTAATGCTATAATATTATAATGTAGGAATGTGTTGTCAAAAGAAGATCACAGCAAACTAAACTTTAGTAATATAATGATTATAATTAAGAAACGCACGACAGCAGTGTTAATGTCTCAGTTCCTTCTCCTCTCCTGAGTGCTTCTCAACACTGGAGTCGGCGGTGCTGTTTTATTGTTGATGAAGTGGCCTCATCAAAGCTGTATTGATTTTAAAAAAAAAAAAAAAAAAAAAAGTTCACCGGTTTCATTTGTTGCACGCAGTACTGTAATGAGTCTAATGAAGACTTAAGTCATTGTGGGTTCAGTTGTTGTATCTCTCCATAGAAGATTCACAGCAAAGACATTAAAATTGTTCTACATGAGGAGAACAACAACTCTTCATGTGGATAGTGACAGGAGATACCAGCTCAAATGAATCATGCTGTTTATTCTTGTCATAATTTCTTTTAATTTAAATGTATTAGACATAAGCCAGGACCACACCACATTTTATTTAACAGTTCTGAAAAGGTTTTGCAGTTTTTCTTCATTTCTGAAATCAATAGCTACAGCATTAAGTTTTCATTCCTCAGTTAGGTTATTAGGTAGCTGTGGACATGCTGTTACACAGTGTACCTTACTTAGCATGGCTTGAGTACATGGTGTTATAAGTCTGATCTTACAAGTGCTAATTCCTGTCCTTGTTGACTGTAAAGGAAACAACTGCGTGTTAAATAGATAATTGCTTGGATTGCATCGATTTGCTTTTAGGAATATTGCTCTATACACTAAAGACTGTTGGAACATCCCCGTCTGCCTCACCTTGGTTGGCCTGTCTTAAAAGAAGTAAGAAAATTACAATATGAATGGTCAGATCACACAATATTAAAAATATCTGCAGGTTCATAACCACAAATATGATTATGAACCCTTTTTGTTCTTTTAGTAGTGGCATCATTTGCTTCGTGAGACCATTACACCTCATAAGGCAGTTTGCTGCTCAGCCACAGCAGGGAGTTCTTGACTGCAGAGCTGCAGCAATTGGTCGATTAATCGTTTGAATCACTTAAAGGAAAAATTTGAAACATTTGATGGTATCAGGTTTTTAAATGAATTTGACAACACTTTGGGCTCCAGGAAACAGTGACAGGCTTTTTTCACTGCTCTCTGGTGTTTATAGATGAAGAGATGAATTGAGAAAATAATTGGTAATAAAAATAATTGTTTGATGCAAACCTACTTCGCAGGTAAATATTAAACCAGCATGATTTGATTGCACTGTGACACTGTGAGAGACTTGTCTTATTTTGACCTGTTTTTGTAATAATTTCTATTTTGTAAATTATATTTGCAAAGTAAATGCTTAAAATACTGTCTGTCTAACCCTATGACCTGCTCTGATAAACACCCATCCAGAGCTTAATCTCAAACACATGTGTGTTTCATTTTTGAGTGCTGTTCAAAAGATGCAGTATTAACAGTGTGTAAGGTGCCAAGAAATCATTTAATTGTGCTGAGTTGAATAAAAGCCCAGTGTGGCAGTCTGGCACAGCAGTTCATGTGTATGGGCCTTGATCCCTGAGCAGTGTTGTCTTTTAATAATGACTTGTAGTAGTACAGTGTATCACATGGTTGGCACCCCTACCATGTCACTCCAGGTAGTCTGCATATTTTCCAGTCCAAGGATGTGTTTTACATCAGCCAGACAATGTCTCCAGGCGTGTCGTGGGAATATATGGGGCATCTGTTTCCTTCTGGTGCGTCAGTTTTTAGTTGCAATGAGACAGAAGAAGAAGAATTCTGACCACACTCTGATGCACAAAGATGCATAGAGACGCTTTCATGTTTTCACCTGTTTAAAATTCAGATACTTCGCCATTTGTAAGGTTGTTCTCATCTCTTTGCAAAAGCATTGTAGAAATGGAGGACGAAGTACACTAACATGCAACTGGCTAGAGGCCAATGTGTAAAAGCATAACGCCATGTCCAGAACCATTGTAAACATAGTGTGAATAGGAACAAATTCAGGAGTTTGGTAAGAATTTTAATGTCTAACATAAATTAAACAATCGCACAACTGTTGAGCTGAGCTGTAGATCACTATGGGAAATTAAAACATAAAATCACAACAAGCTAAATTGTGTCTGAAACTTTTACAATTTCAATCAGATTTCAAAAACATTTTGTTTTGGTGCCATTTAACTAATTCTGCTTGCCCTTACAACATGTTAATATTTTTGTTTTTGTTATTCTAAACATCAGTGTCCTGCTGAGTAATGGTTGGTTGTCACTGTTGATTGCAACCACCACCTGTATTTATGACTAAGGAGAAACATACAGCAAAATAATAAGACTACATTACTAATCTGAGTCAAAGTGAACCAAAGTATCAGCAGTAATTTGTGTAGCTTTTTGAAATAGTTTTGCACTGGAGCAACATATGCAAGAAGTCAGGGTGGTTAGTGTGGTTAGTTCCTCACTCTCTAAAGATGTAGGTCAGTCAGTTTTTTTTTGTTTGTTTGTTTTTGTGGGCCCACATCTTAAAAAAAAAAGTATTTTCATTTGAGCCATTCAAAAATATCCCATCTCTCCTGCCCACACTCTCTCCTGTCCTACTGTCTGTTATTGGCCCTCAGTAAGAGCCTCATGGCAACTACAGAGGACTGGATTCGTGTTACATCCCTCTTTGGTGCCCCATCTCTGAAGTAGCGTGTACAAGCTCCAAGAGAAAGTGTGATGGGCTCTGCATAAAGCCCAGCCCTTGCTCCACAGCAGAGGCAGCAGAGTGGTGCTGACCAGATCGCAGCTCTCACAGTGATGTATGTGTTGTGTCAGGGACTGCACTTTGTGGCAGGCTGCACAAAGCCTGCTCATTAGTATGCGACTGGCACTGAGAAAAAGATGGGAGGCAGCGATGCCGAAAGGGAGGCCTGGAGGAAGAGGCAGTGTAATATTAGACTAGAGGGAGAGGGAAAATTGATGAAATCAACTTGATCTAACCATTTTTCTTGCCACGGAAGTCAGCCAATTCATTTGGAGGAGTGTCTATTTGTACCACATTTTAGTGTGTTGTTTAGCCTCAGGGTAGGACTGCTCTGAACTGCTTGTTTTACAGATGTTAACTTCAGGTTAATTAATTTCCACTAACTGACACTATTTTTCACTTTATAGCGTTGGTTTCCTCTGGGGTCTTTTCCAAATGTAGAGGAGATTCATTAGATGACACTTTATATTAACTGCTCTTAAAGTGTGGTTACAAATGTACACCATGTTATTTTAATCACTGGTATTTTCAGTACATTTCAAAGTAGCCCCGAGCTCCTCCTTTGCTATGGGTCTGCCTCACTTTTGAAAAGTCTTCTTCTTGAAGAGATCCAAGAGAAATGATTTAGTGTTGGTGAGATCTTTGTTCTGTTTTCATCAAGTTAAGGCTCCAATTTAAATAAATAAATAAATAAAATCCAAATCTTAAATAAACAGAATATTGGCTAGTACATTGTTATCTGATATAAGTGGTTGAAAACAAGTCTGGAGAATCGCACTTAGTTTTACTGCTCATGCTGAATATAAGTTGTTCAAGTGACATTTGCTTTCATGGAGAACCTAGGACTATGCAGATGCATATCTTATATTGGCTTGTCATTAATGTAGCAATATATTTTCTCTCCTTTCTCCTTGTTCATTGTGAGTAAATGACCACTTCAAAAAGCAGTTAGTGTCTTCTTTCCGCAAAATCAAACTTCTTACCTTGTGTGCATTTGCAGTATTTTTCAGTCCCTCACCTTTTTTATTGTTTTTAGGGTGTGTAAAGGCCAGTAGTGCAGATTTAAAAACTATTTTAATGGTATTATATGTAAGAGGGATTGGAGCTACAGGCACATCAGTCACTATGGACTGAGCCTAAGAAGCCATGCCAAGTTTACACACATGCACATACACACACGTACATAATCCCTTTGATTGTGTCCTATTTCTCTGTCTCCATTGCCGCAGGTTTTTGTGAATGTGTCCTAGAGTGTGGGGGGATGTTGCAGTGATGTAGCCCCACGAGCCAAGCACTAGGAGAGCTATGGCTCTGCTCCTTTTTAATGCATCTTTTGTGCTTGTGTTCAGACTCTACTGTTTTTTCCTACTTCCATCAGTTTGGAGGTCAACTGTATTAGAGTATATCCAGGATTATCTAAAGTGTAGGCTGAAGTGTAGGAACACACTCGGTGATTAGAGGAAGCGCAGCAAATATATTGCATTTAAAGGAGTTTCATTCAATATGAGAAAAAATGGGACAAGATGAGAAGAAACTGAACTGCACTGTTCAACATCTCAGTGCTGAAGGGAATCTGAATACTGAGGGGAAATCAAAAACAGTTTAATCTCATCAGTTATTGCACATTTTAAGGTTTACCTCAGGAGCCATTTGCAGTTAATCCCAGTATATATGAACAGACTGTTGTTGTTCATATGAAGTTTTCTCTTTAATCAGACCTCCTCAGTCTTATCTTTCTAGGTGACAGTTCAATGCCATATCAAGTGTTTGTATCACTTTTTTAGATGACGTGTAGGATCTTTTTATGTCCTAATTATTTCATGTAATACATATTAAACACACTTTAATGCCAGTGGAGTTCCAGGATTCGTTTTAATAGAGTAGGGGGGTCTTAAATCGAGAAACAGCCTCTTGAATCCTTAGAAGCTCTACATAATTAATATTTGATTTATTGTACTTAAGGAAGATTTTATGGGTTTTTAAATTGCTATTGCAGGTTGTCACATTAGCAAGTTCAGGGGGTTTATTGCAACATTAATGTGTTATGATGGGTGCAGTCATGGTGATTGTGTTCTGCCACTTCTGAAGCACACAGTGTGTATTTTACTGTTTGATTTTTAGAGGCAGGGTCCTTATAATTCATTTTTAATGGTTGCGCAGAAGTACGGTACACATAAAAGGAGTTCACCGTGGAGATTTTGTAGAATGACCCCTATCAAAAAAATATTGAGGATTTTTTGGTTTGGAACAAACTGGACAGAATATGGTGTGAAGGTTTGCAGAGGTCTGGCACTTTAAAGTTTATTGATACAGTTCACTTGTGTCCTTGACTTTGATGTTTTTCTTTTTAGGTTATCATACAAGGATTTTTCCAGATATTAATATAAAGTTTGTTTGAATTCAAACCCTGCTGCAATCCGGTCATAGATCAAATACTTCTACACAAAGTCTAGTTTTGTCTGACAGTGAATGCACCCTGTTGGTACATTTGTTTCTCAGTAATAAGTTGGAGTTATACTGTAAATCAAAAAAGGCCAGAGAAAATATATTAATATATACATATACAAAATGTGGATGCTAAGTTGTTTGTTTATTCAACTTAGTAGAATACAAATCTTATACAAGCCTGAGGCTGCAATTAATGATCATTTTCATCATCACTTACTGTATAATTTTGAAGAATAACTGTTCAGTTAATAAAATGGTGATGAATGTCCATCATAATATCTTAAAATCAAAAGATCTCCTCAACACGTTTCTTTATCCAATCGACAACCCAAAACCCAAAGACACTTTGTTAGCAGCAAAAACTTAAGAAGTACACTGATCCTTTACTTAAGTAAAAGTACTTGCTATACAGAAAAAATGGCCTCAGTGACTGACACACCATCATATATTACTTTATTAGATTGTTAATATGATAAATGCATCAATGTATAAGCAGCATTTTGCTGTTGTAGCTTGTTGAGGTGGAGCCAGTTTTTACTACGGAAAAAAAATCAGATGCAAAAATGTGTCTTCATCTTCTTGGACATTTTTGTCTTTGCTTTTATTGTGAAATTATTTGATAATTTGCCCCATCAGAGAAGTTTAAATGGGAAATGCCTCTGTGGTAGATCTGCAACAAGTCAAAAACTCCTGGAATGTGACAGGGGGCCCAGACTATGCACGGCTTTCCATATTAACACGGATCTCATAGATCTAAACAAGAGCCGGTAATGAACTTTCCCGGACCAATAAAATAGTAAAGTGCTACATTTTTAGGTAGAAATGGTTAATACATCGCGCTGAATACTGATACATCATATTGGGATTTCCATTGTTTTATTTAAAGACACATCTTTTATTTATCTTATTTAAAGACACATTGTATCAAAGTGCTCTGCAAGACAAGGGGCACAATCACTGAGAGCGAAAGATGGCCGTATTAAGGTATCCATAATTCAGCTATCTCGAGTGTGGTGACACCTCTACAGCAGGTTCTCTCTAATAGCTCTATATTTCATTGAGGAAAACACCCTGTCAAAACTGACATGATGTATGACAATGTCTCTTTTCACCCCAACCTTGTCCCTCTTACACTCTCATCCTCACTAATGCCCTCTCTTCCTCTCTCCCCTCTTGTCTTCCTCTCACTCTCTGTAGTTTGACAAAGCATATGCCTACAGCATCCGCCACATGTTTGGCAAAGAAGGCAAGCGAACAGACTACACCCCCTACAGCTGCATGAAGGTGATTTTATCAAACCCACCCAGCCAAGGCGACCATCATGGTGAGTTGACGGCTGTTGGAAGAAGCCATTACCCATGTGATGAGCCACTCAACTCTAATTATCAGGCTTTTTAGTTAACGGAACTTGGCTTGGAAATAGTGACACGACTGACTGGGTGTTGATTATCGAAATCATCACCAAAATCTCTGCTCATACAGTTTTCACATGATGAAAACTTCAGTTTGCTCCTTTTGGTGAAACAAATAATGGTTAATTTATGAAGCAAATTATTTGAATTCATTTTCATGTTTGTAGGATGCCCATTTCGTCACAGTGACCCAGAGCTGCTGAAGCAGAAGCTTCAGTTCTACAAAGTGTCTCCCAGTGGAATCAGTCAGGTGGGTGTCATCCTGTCAACAGAAAGCGTCTCAAATGGTCAGACGGCCATCGTTATCTGCCTTCTGCCTCGACATTTCTCCCATGATCCTTTCTTTCCTTTTTTTCTTTTTCTTTTTTCAGTGGGTAAAAATAAATAAAATCTGAATGTAGTTCATTTAGAAACTAGAAAATGTTACTACTACTCACCACACCCTCACACCCTGGCTGAGAGCAGCTGCTCATAGAAGCTGTGTCTTAATAACATTTCAACTACAGTATAGAAAACATGCAAGTTGAAAGTAGTTGCAGCGCAGACCACTGCAGACGCCAACCTGTAACTGACGTTGCAGGTACTTGCATGAACCAAAATATTTGACAAATTAAAAAGCTGACCTAATGATGGCGCCAGATGAAAAATTAATGGATCACCAGAGTCATCATTTGATGGTCGTCCATGCAGTGGTTGTCAAGATATTTCATTCAAAATATGTCAACCTCATTGTGCCAGAGGAAATGAAATTTCACAGGTTATATGAAATCTTTGACCTGCCGGAGACGCTACACGAAAAGTCAGGATCACCAAAGTCATGAGGATTCATCCATGAATGCCTGCACAAAATAGTGTCTTTCACAAGGTGACCTACAACACATTCCTGCATCAGTGGTTTATTTCTAAAAGTACTGACAAGTAAAAAAAAAAAAAAGATAGTTAACACGATAATGTGGATGTTTGACATGTTGTTTCTCAAATCCCCGAAGGACCTTCTCGAGTAAAGCACACAAATAGGAAGTGAAGTACTCGCATCACATAAGTGCGATATTTTCTCTTTTGCAAAAGAGAAAATAGGAATAAAACTGAGAGCACCGTTAGTGTTTGCCTTTTATTACCACTCTCGCAGATCTAATACCAGCCACAGTGGTTGAGCGTGCTAGTGGCAGTATCACGCTGGAGGCAACCTTCAGGAATATAGAGAATAATGACGGAGCCAAATACAGGCAGTCTTTCTCTAAGCGAGTGATGAAGACCTTGGATTTATTTTTCAGCAGGTAAGTCACCCTGAGTGTACAGTCGCACTAACGCTACAGGGGATTTTGGTGCCAGAATGTGAGAGTGCTTGTGCCACCCAACCAAAGCCTGGGCTTCGAACTGGCTGCTCCCACCCTCCCTTTCCAACTTTTACAGAGCTTCTGAAAACCAGGAATGAAAAAGCAGATAGAAATTCTGAAATGTACATGTACCAAAAGAGTTGAAGGTATAAATGTTGCCAACAGTTCCTACATTCTACAAAGAGTTGACTCAGGGCATGAATATTTAAGTGATCTGTTTTTGATTACATTTGCAAAGATTTCTTGAAGGATGCGCTCACTGCTGTCTTAATGATTTATGAGAGATGTTTGTGTAGGTAGTTGATCGAAAAGCCAATTAAAACAATTTGGATCACAAGACTGCAACATCACAAAATGTTGGCAATACCTTATGTAAACGCGGTATCCAAAGTGTAACAGTTTAACAGTGTGAGAATGCAGATGAAATTTCTACCCTGATGTTTTTGAACTTTTCCTATCCTCTACTTATTGTTGCAGATCCTGGAGCTGGTTAAAGGAATGCACTATCAGCTGGCATGCCAGAAGTACTTTGAGCTGACTCACAATGTAAGTGCAGATTTAATTTGAAGCTGGGAGTACCTGTGTCGGAGGCAGGTGTTTGGTCCTCACATGTGATGCATGACGGCTGGGGAGAGAGACCCAGAACTGTCATCACATCCATCATTAGCCGGCTGTCATAGCCACTTAATTTTTAAAGGTTTATTATGGCATTCAGATCTATTTTGTCCCCTGTGGATACTTACTTAATTTAATCTGTTTAAGTTTGGATGCTTGAGTCATCATCCCTTTCAGTCACACTCAGAGTCCTGGTTTCAGGGAAGAGCAGTGACTTGAAAAAAGAAAACAACAAATAAACAAGGTCTTAGACTCACAATGTATTTGCTTGTGACTGCAGTTGTCATTCAGCTGAGTTTGGCACATTGTGATCAGTAGTTTAACACGTGCTCTGGTTTTTCTCTCTCTCTTCTTACTACATTTACACAGCTTGATATATCGTGTCTAAGGTGAAACAGTTATTTTGAATCCTCAAACGTAAGGTGTCATAGTTAATTTTGGGTGGGAAGATCATTTCACACACTGTACCTTTAGTAGATCTATTGCTGATGGAGGTGTATCCCTGAAATTGTAATAACAGTGACTGTACACAAAGAATTCATGAAACGTATAATTAAGTTGTTAGTTGATCAGTTTTTTATAAAAGTTTAGACTTTGTATCAATTTGTTTATGTCAGTTTCAGTACAATCAGCAGCAAATACACTGTACAATACCTCTGAGACACATCATGGTAAAATCCACCTTTACACTCTTCATGAAACATTTTCTTCTGGATGTAGATCAGTAATTACACAAACTGCCTAAAATTGTGTCCATGACACAGTCCTGGTGTCTGCTAACATTAGCCACCAGAAGCTACTGGTCATACCAGACCACATCAGGCTGTAGCAGCAAAACCCCCGAGTACACTGAACTGAGCAAGGCTCAGTTTTTATTTCTAATGTGTTCAGTTCTTTATTTGTAACAGAATGGATGTGCTAAAAAAATTACATAGTCTCATTTTAAATGAAACGTGTAAATATGGAAGACATTAAAAACCAAACATACATTCTTTTACATAGTCATAACCCGGGGCTCCTTAGCTACTTGACTGGTTATTGACCTTAATGAAAAATGCAGTTGTCATGTTTGCTTACAGTCACTACACTTACATTAATGAATTTAGTCCAAACAACTGATGAAAGAACAAAGATGTTGTACTCTGCAGTCATGTGTAAAATTAATGAATTTGCTTCACAGGACAATTTATGCACGTTGAAATCACATTCTTATGAAGCTACTAGCTGATAAAAGCAATGATTAAACAGAAGCATGTTGCCACTCTTCCACCCACCGGCAGATATACATTATAGTAGTTAAAGTGCTCGGTGCACAATTATTTCCTTCACTCTAGAAGTTCAACAGGTAAAAATGGCAAAGTGAAATGTGTTGTGTACAAATCTGTCACAGTAACTTAAAACATCACTCGCCATTGAACAGCTGTTTAAAAACTAAAGGTCACAGGACGAACTTTTGAAAGAGCTCAAACTTCATTTGTTAATTGATTCATAGGTTTTTACTCATCATGAGTGATTTTGACATTTTATTTCCTGAGAGGACATTTCATCTTTTTCGCTGTGTGCTCTGATGGAATAGCTAGCTGGTGACTTAACTCGCTAATGTGCCTGTGAAAGTTCTCATTATTGTTAATTAGTAAATTGTTGGTAAATTAGCAAACCATTCCACATCTTGCCCAATGAAGCAGATGTTACGTGATCATCTTATAAAAGGTGACATGAATCCATCATTCACTTCTGGGAAAACTGAGACTGCTGTTCTAATTTCCCCTTGACCTCCCTCTCCTGTGTTCTCTTTATTTTTTTTTTTTTTATTTGAGCAGTTTGAGGACTCCAATTTTTCGCTCAACCACCCCAACCAGTACTTCATAGAGAGCCAGAGAGTTTTGGGCGGCGGCAAGGATATTAAGCGAGAGATGGAGGCTCCACAGAGGTCGCAGGAAAACTCTGCTGCCAGAGGATCCACTGCAGCACGAGAAGCAGCAGCAAACGCCTCCCAGGATTTGGCCGAAATGACGGAGGATCTGGACTCTTTCTTTCAAGACGCCTGATTTTTTTTTTTTTTTTTTTTTTTTTTTTTTTTTTTTTTTTTTTATCTTTTATACATGTAGAAATAAATGTCTGTCTTTTCTATGAGGGATGAAGGTGGGTGGGTGGCGAGGTCCATATTTACATGATTTGAAGACTCTGTTTCTGACGTGTATTAAAGTTGCATATCAGTAATATTTCAATGATCGAGTCCACTTTAAAACACAGCAGGGTCTGAGTTAGCCTCTAAGCGACATCTTCTTAATCTCAGCATTACATTTTCTACCTGATCAAATTCCTTGTTAGCGTCGGTGAGGCTGCATCATTCATTTTTGCCGTTTAACCCATGCGTTAAAAGTAGTCTCTTGGTTTGTTTTCTTTCTTTGTTTTCACTCTGGTCTGGACTCAGATGGCTTATACCCAGTCTCAGTGCACAGTGTTTTGGCAGGGACGCAGTTTTGGGGGTGATGACTAGAACATTTCCCAGCTGTCTCAGAAACAATGTCATTGTATTTGCTGGCAGGAGTATGGATGAATGGTGGCAGGAGGATGGATGAAAATAAATAATTTCCACAGTTGTATTATGCCGCCTTGGAATATTGCCTCATAGTGCACAATGCAATTTATTCAAAGCATACGTGGTCAGGAGATATTTCCTTTTTCTTATCTCGAACTGCCTGCTCAATAATTTGTGAGAAATGGTGGCTGCCTGAAAGTCAAGGACCTTTTGCACTGCTGTGATGTTGGTAACGGAGACTGCTCCTCTAATCTTGGTTCTTTAGGAGGTACAGTTTTGAGCCCTTATCTCCACTCTTACCATGCATTTTACTAGATTACAAACTTAAGATCCAATTAGAGGCGCTGAAGAGTTGGCCCTGAATTAAATGAATACAAATGTGTTTCCAGGAGGCCAAAGGAAATATTGAATGATGGGGTGAAAACCATTCTGTGATTTAATGATTGATCATTTTAAATCTAATTTAATGTTCCAGATGGTGTCGGTGGCAAACGATTTATAAAAAAAAAAAAAAAAAAATCACAGCATTTCTGCAGATTTCTCTGCAGACACTTTCAGACCACACTTCATCACTGTCTCGTGCTTTATACGTCAGAGCACAAACGCATGGCTTTCACCAGAGCTGCATATAGCTGGAATTAAATTAGGTCTTAAAATCCAGGCATGGTGCTTGACACAGAGAGGATTTATTCAGTATAATAAGGCAACTGGATAACAGTGTGCAGCCGGGCTGCTGTCAGCAAGAGACCCTTGATGTTTAATATTTGGTAAAGCATGACTACATTTGACAAAGCTGGCACTTTCTTAGACTGTGGGCAGGCAGTTGACTAGAACAGTGTTTATCTCCTCCGAATGGATTTACAATCATTAGTCATGAACTTGCTTGCTTTCGTCGTGTGATTCGTTCTCTTCCCGTACTCATTACATAGGCGAGAGGTGTTCTGGGGATGGTGCATTATCCGAAAGAGCGAGAAATTCAATTCGAGACCTAACCGCAACATTTGTTTCATGGGCCTCACATGGAGGCTGACATGCAGGGTGAATCTGTATGCAAGGACGTGCAGTGTAGCCGGAGTCAGGCTTTTGTTGCAGCCCTGTGAATGTGTTGCAATCTGGAGCTCGTAAATGCTGCAAACATAACATCCCCAAGTTTATTTGCATTGCATCCATAAACAAGTAACATTAATTCAAAGGTAAAAATGAAGAAAAAAAGAAGGGAGCAAAACATCAGATACAATACAGGGAAGTTAGAGTTACAAGTTTAATTGTTGCATTATGATGTGAAAGCACCAAAATAAAACAATAGGTCATTTGTCAGTGGTATTGAATTCTCCACATTGACTCCATTGTACATTTCTATTCAGAGCGTGATGTTTCTCTTTGTCCTCTTCCTAATATAATTTCGCCCAGGGGACCAAATGTACAGCAGTTTGATTTGTTATTTAATATGCCTCACCAGGAGCGGCCCTGGTTAATTTTGGGGATTTGTGTGCGTTTTGTTTTCTATTTATTTTTTAAGGATTAGATAACACCCCATAACGCGTGCTTGTACATCTCGCCCTGGAGCTGTGTAAAAACGAGCACAATTTATTTGATAACTGCCTCATTCCTGATTTCAGATTTCATAAACGCTTGTGTAGTCATGATGGAGTATTAACGTTTCAGTGGGAGGAAGAACAGATTATTTTGGGTCTTCGGTGGATTCTTGTCAAATTAGCCGTACTGCAGTCGCCGCCTTCATCCTCTCTGCGCTGGGGTCGCTGCCACACTTGGAAGAAATAAATAAAGATAATAAAGTTTGAGCAGATGTGAAGTGAAGCCTGGTGGAGGTTTTAACATCTAAGCTAGAGAGATCATGGTGTATGAATTGACTCTTGTAACTAACTTAAACACTTGATTTATTTAGTCTGAAACGCTCCTCTGTCAGAAGTTTGTGTATTTGAACATAATAGCAAAGAGGGTGACATTTAATTCCTTCACTTTGCAGAATCACTCAAATGTCATCCATGAGTACATTCCCTATATTCTGAGTTCACCCTCCACCTCAGAGTCCCACTGGGATGTATTAAACACGCAGGCGCTTGGATGTTTACTTGGCTGGCAAAGAAAGCAGGACAAAAACTATTTTACCATGAAAAACATTGCTTCTATCCGCTAACAACAGCCTGAAGATTATGTTCAGAAAAATAAGTAAAATAATAATAAAAAAAAAATTGTTTGTGTCACAAGACCAATCAGAAAAGTAATTCTCAATTTTAACAATTTCATTTTCCTCTGAGCGCTCATATGACTCACCAGACTGACATTTAATCAAGAAATAGTCCTGGCAGATGACTCTGCAAAGGTGAATTTGAGAGAAATATACTGTTGTGGCAGGTTGCAAGACTGATAATGGAAATTATATTAAAAGTATATATGTATGTGTGTGTGTGTGTGTATATACTGTATATATATATATGTATATATATACACACTAATGCTTAGCAATAAAAGACCACACATATATATATATATGTATATATGTGGTCTTTTAGTGTTTCCAAGATTAAGAACCCTGATTACCATTTGTATTTTGTTTCCTCTTCATACTGGCATTCGTGTAAAGCAACATGGCAACATTTTACTGTCACAGATGTCTGAAATCATTACTGAAAAGCATGTAGATGTGCTGGGAAAGTGACCAGGCGTGCAAAACTCTGCTCCACTCCACATTACTTTACTTTTTTACTAAGTATTTCATTAATATAACCACAGTCGTAGTCTCTCTGTCTGACTTGTTGGTGCATAAAATGAACCAAATTGATGCATGTTTTTGGGATGTGGATGAAAACCACCACAAACCGAAGGTGAGCATGCTGGGAACTGACTGCTGTGTTCTTGCTGGGAGGAAACACTGATGCTGCTTTGGTTTAAAATATAAAAGTGAATTTAGCAGGAAAATCAATCACTGCAAATAGGTGTCCTTCTCACAGTACGGCGAGGATGCACCTGTTGGCATCTTTCCATTGGTCTAAATCCGGAGATCCACCAGTGTCCATTACTGTCTCTTGGTGATGTTTGGTATTGATCGTAACACCAGATGGAAGCATCAGTTACACTCCCATCAGCATTTTGTCTAATTCATGTAAAACCTGGCACTTCTTGTTAGGATACAGAGTGTGATATTTGTCTCTTAAATTTAAAAAAAAAAGAAAAAAAGAAATCTAAATGGAGAGAACAAAACAACACAACACAAAATTAGCCAGGAGATGTGACGACCCTGTTGATTGTAAAATTGGTGGTAAAGTCCCCGCAGCTGTATGTAAACTCACCATTAATCCCCTGGGCGTTGTTTCATTAACCTGACAGATGTGTGAGCCGCTGCTCATGTGATTAACTTTAACTCACAAACTCATTCACTCTCTCAGAGCTCCGCCTGGAGCCGTGCTGTCGCTTCTTGTTTGACTTTATGTTGGGCGCAACCTGCGAAAAGAGGAGAGTTGGTCTTCTGCTCCCGCTTGCTTTGGTTAAACAGGCTTTAATCACTGCGGCACAAATGCGAGTTTGTTTTTAAGCTACTTCACGCTGCTGTGGCTCAAACTGCCAAGTAAACACTGACCATCTATTCGAGCCCTATATACTGTAAAGTTTGCCCGACTGCATCTCTCTCCACACAATTATTTTCCCCATGAGTTATTAAAGCTTTGAAGATGGAATTTAATGAGATCATACTGCTGTATATCCACATTTGACCTGAGAATGACTTGCATCTCATTTGCCTCTTTTTGTCCATAACTGTGTTTACAATATTCTCCCTCTTATTGCTTGTGAGGACATTACTGTGGCTGGATTATTGTACATTTAAATACCAAAACCCAGTTTGTGTGTGCATTCAGACTGCATCAATCACAGCCAGGTTTTGGTTTTTATTTGACAGTGAATGAGACATGAAAAAAATATTAGAGGAATACTTGGACATTTTGGGGAATACACATCTTACTCTCAGCAAAAATGTTGAACTATTCATTGAAGAAGAAATAGAAAATATTAGGTGGTTAGGAGGTTTTTTTTTTTTCTCTCTCTCTTCAGAGTTGTCCCTTGGGTGTACAACACAATGTGGACTATAAGTATTAATGGCTGCCTCTCTATAATTGCCTGTGGTTTAACATAACACAGACTAGAACTTGAATGCCACATCAGGGTTGAATGTCTGCTGTCAGTCCAGAGAAGAAAAAAAAAAAAAAAAAGTCTTCCTCTCACTACCAGTTAAGTGGATTCTGTCACACATGTTAAAAACAAATCTGCAGCAGAGTGTGACACATCAAAGGAGAAATGGAAAGCAAACCCCCCTTGTTAATGGAGGGAATTGTGGAAGCAGGGACTGTTGGATGTTGGGGGGTGGGAGGGGGGCAGGGGGGGACATAATGGCCCTGACAATCAACCAGCAGAGTGCCCGTCCTTTTTCCCTGCAGGGGGTGTTGATGGACACAGAACGCTGGAGCTTGTTGATGCTTCCTGAGTTGACAC